GATCATGAGGTTGAAAGGCTCGCAGGTCTCTTCAGTGTGGATGAGCAAGATTGCACTCATACAGTAGGAATGGCTGGTCTCCTCAAACATGACCAAGTTTAACAAAAGCTAAAAACAGATAATATTGGTGGTCTAGTAGTAAAGGACAGTTTCCTTTAGCCTGAGGCTAGATAGGGCAGTCCTTGTCTTCCCTCCCTCTGCTGTTTTTCTGTATTTCCCTCAAGGTTTTGGTTGGTATAGGGAGAAGAGGCTGAAGTAGCCAGCTTTTTGCTTTTATTTGTAGTGTTTCTACAAACAAGGCTTTTCAGGAGTTCGGAGAACAGAGATCCTGGCCAGAGCACGCTGTGTTCTAGTTGTTATTATTCAGGGGCACCCTGAATCCATCTAGCTGAAAACCAACTGAGGGAGTATAAAACAATCTCTGAGTTGTTCCGTCATTTACTCGGACAAGAAGGAAAAGCTCTTAAGTGTTTTTGTCTCCAGTCTGTCTTAGGCTGTTTCCTCCAGTGCTACATAGTGCTGTACGCTACTTGAAGGTCTCAGGCCAATTCTGCTCTGCTGAGTGACGAACAGCTAGCATAAGAAATTATAACTCTCCCTTTGAGCCCAAGTACAGAGCAGTAGAGGCCAACTGTCTCTTGTTTTCTTCCGTTGTTAAATACAACTGCCTTCAAATCCCAGTTAGGGCTATTAGTGCTTGAGAGAGCAGGACCAATGCAGAGATGTGAGTAGAAGCTGTACTATGGGTTTTCTGAGCAAGCTAAGAACTACAGTGAGCAAGCAATGTTCTACCAAATGAAGCACTCATCTACAGTATCATAGCTCACCCTGGACAGCCTTCCAGCAAGCTCCCATGGTGAAGAAAGGTCCATATTTTGCCCTGCTGGGGGTGGGGATGGACTTAGGGGAATTCACTAATCTTTGAAGACCTGATTTTTTTTTTCTTTTCTCTTTTAGCAACAACTACGTATGCGGATTAAGTTGACATATAATCACAAGGGCTCAGCAATGCAGGACCTAGCAGAAGTCAACAACTTTCCCCCTCAGTCTTGGCAGTGAAGCTCTGACACCATTCTTATTCTCACCCCACCCAATCAAAGGAACTCTGGGAAGAAGGTTGTGATCCCTGGAAATCCCCCAAACCGCACCATGGGTATGGGGAACAGATGAGACCTGCTGATGAGGAGGAATTTTCCTGAAGTGATTGCTGACTTTGGAGCATATCTGTTAAGACTAATTTCCTCTCCTCCGCTGATGAGGCTGGCTGCTTGTGGAGGATACTCTGCACTCCCTCCCTGCACATGCATTCACAGCCAGAAGCAACATTCCCTTCTCCCCCCAAAGAAACACAGCCTGATTGGAAGAGAAGTCTGGAATTTCTTGCAGGGAAATTTTCTTCTCTCTGCAGCAAGTGAACAGCTGCCCCTTCTTTCTGCTGTCCTTTTTTTACCCCTGGGGAGGGCAAGGTGCATTTTCATTCATTACTAGCTGGGTTATATTCAGGCACTTTCATCTGGGGCTCAGATTGGGGACTTAAAGGACGTTAGGGTGTCCTGCCTCTTTCTTCCTGTATCCCCTTTATCTGAAGGGGTTGGAGGCTTCTTGTGGCCTATTCTGTGCATTACTGTATACACACACACACCTCTTAGTTATGCGATACATACCAAGAGCAAGTCAGGCCTTGGGAGTTCATCTGCAAACCTGGGACAGTGTGAGAAAAGATGTGTCTGGTGATAGTTGATCGAATTGCTTTGGTGCTGTACTTGAAAGTGAAGCCCTGACACTTGAATTTTCTTTGCTTTCTATCATTGACTGCAGCTGTGCAGATTCACAGTCTTCTGTAGCTGCCCCGGGGAGTGTGATGATATGTGAAAAATGTAGAGATCCACAGAGCAGCTGGCTTGCTGCCGCAGACATTTTCAAAGCCTTTAGCCCATTGACTGTGGTTTATGGGTAAAAAGGACATGCTCAATTTTGTAGATTGTTCTTTGAGCAAGGGCCCTGTTGCCTGCTGGGAGACTCATCAGAGATTATGCTGCAAAGTCACTTTTCCCAGTTATTCCAGACCTTCTCCCCAATTTAATTTCCAGAGCCTGTTGTAGATCCCTGGATTCCATTTGAGTTTGTTCTGACTGGGACATTTGTGTTGTATCTGTAACATTGGCACTGAAATAAAGACCTTGCGGTTTAAAGAGATCTTTTCCCATTTTGTTACTTAATTGATCCTTATGGTTTGTCCTCAGACTGGAAGGAACTGATCTTTTTTTTTTTTTTTTTTTTTTTTTTTTTTTTTTTATTTTTTAAGTAAATGCCAGTTGTTTGAATATGTGAGTCAAAGATGTGAGGTCCAATACTGTTCTAAGTGTGATGATCAACCATGTTGAGTCATGCTTCCTAGCAGGATCAGTTGTTTGCGTAGCAGTGTTCCATGAGTTCTCGTGGAGATAGTGGATAGGACATGAGGTGCAGTGCAAAAGAACTATTCAGGTGTTCAGCACCTGTCAGGGAGGGAGAGGGAAGGGCCTATCTTGGACCCTCAGAAGCATGTTGGTAAGCTGAAAGAACTCTAGTTTCTAATGCCTTTTGAAAAGAAATAGATGGTACATTTCCTTAATTTCTGTTACAGGGCTTTGCAGATGGCCCTCCTTCAGCAGCGTGATAGCAAGCTTAGGCCCTGGCCTTCATGTGGCTGTAAAAGTACTAACACTTGGCTCCAGTCCTTGCCAGAAGTACCACAGGAGTGAGGCACTCAGCATAACTGGGAAGAATTAGAGGACCTATTCTGTCCTTGAACCTGGAACAGAAGTCTGGTTTAGTTTTTCAAGTTGCTTTAGTTTTAGCTGCATTAAGCAATATAACACTGGACTAATTGCATCACTGATTTCAGTATTCATTTGTGTGATGGAATGAGTGTTTCTTGGCATTTTTGCTGCCTTACTAAGGAACGCAGTTAGGGCCTTGGAATTAGAGAAGAGGTATATTAATCTATTGGAACTAGCATCAACAAGGGGCTGTAAAATCTAACAAGGATAAGATTGCATTAGAGCAGAACTGGTTCTGAGTTGTGGCAGAATCTTGGAGTCCGTTCTTGGGTGCTGAGCATCCACATTTATTACTTTATTTGCGGTATGATTATTCACCACCTCACTAGCTCAAACTCCTTAGCATCAGAGACTGAGCATGTAGACAAATGTGCTCCAAGGGTGTCCCAGATGTGACATCAGGCTAATGGAAGGTCTGTGCCTTAGTTTCCAAAAGCCCCTTGAGCTCTGTCATTCTCTTTGGAGATACTTGCATGTGGTCACTTGTACTGAAGTCTGGCACACCTCAATCTCTATATCGTTTTGTCAAGAGCAGCACTGCTGGAAAAGCATTAAATGAGGGAAAAAAGGAGTAAATGGTCTTTCTCCTGGCCAGTTTATTGCAGAATAGTTGGGAACACAGGATCTTGTCCTCGTTGTGCATGTTTTGTCTTCTAGAGCAGGTGGGTCTTGAAGTTGGTTTGGTGAGCCTATTATGGATTAGTTCCTCCTCTGTTCTTGGCTGCTTCAAACACCTTTGTGTGGAGATGTGTGTTGAGGACATCCTCGTGTTCTGCCTGTCAGACTGAAAGAGGTGCATGGACACAAAGAGTGTTCTGCTTGAAGCCATCCCTTGGCTTTGAAGGACAGTCCTTCAAACATGACATTCCTGTCATCCCTGAAGCTCTTTTCCCTCCCTTTTTAAGGGATAGAACACTGATGCTATCCCAGAATAAAGGCCAGGTTTCACACATTCCTCTGTCTTTAATTCCAGATCCCTTTGCTTGGTTCTTGGCCCTTGCTGCATCTCTTAACCTCTGTGCTGCTGCTTTGTTTTGTCACTGGAGTGTACGCACATGTCCACTTCGTAAAGCGCTCTGAGGACGGAGTGCCAGGTCTTTATTCTACCAGTGGAGAGCAAGAATTTTAACGGTCTGCTTGAAATTCTCCTTAAGGTAGCATAAGGGGGATATGCAGGGAGCAAGATACAGACTTCATGGCTAATCTTACTAATATCTGCATTGGAGACTTTGGAGCTGGGAGAGGTGGAATGTTTTTTCTTTTGTTGTTTTTTTTTCTGTTTGTTTTTGTTGTTTTCTCCAAGTGAATGTATTGTCTTTTGAGCCAAGAGATGGCAAAAAGATCAGTGGCCATATTGGACCTGACAGGGAGGAGACATGGGAAGGTCCTAAGATTTGACTTTGTCCAATTTCTGAAGAGACAAAATATGGCCTTGAACAACTCTTTGAAGCAATAGCAATGAGGGGGCTGCAACCTATACAGGACCATGGATATTTAACTCGCAAGATGCTGAAACAGTGGGGACAGGTGCTGCAGCCCTTCCCCAGGGCTGGTACTGGCTGCAAGATGGAGCAGCAAAGATGGCTTTTTTAGACCTGCTGGTGCGCTTTCTATGTGTTCATTTTCTACTTGGGGGCTGTGAGGGAAGAGCTGTTGGGCTGCTTTCCTCTGTGAACTTTCACTCTATTCCTGTATAGTCCTTTTTCTTTCCTGATGTTGTAATTTACATTTTACATGGATCCTCATCCCAACTCCTTCACAATATATATAAAAAAAAAAAAAAAAAAAAAAGAAAGAAAAAAAAAGAAAGAAAAGAACATGCCAATTGAGCAGGGAGCCTGGTGATGTTCTAACTTCTACAGACATATTTTTGAGATGTGAAAAATTTAAATAAATACTGAATTGTAGGTGAGGAACATAACGGATGTAAACATTTACATGGGATGCATTAGATTTGTGTGTATTGTCTTTTGGTTGAAACAAATTATGAAGTGACTAATAATAAAATGAGTCAATATTCAATGATTTAAAAATGTGCTTTGTTGCTTTTTGCAAGTACAATGGGATATCCTTACTGCTCCTTACAGGTGGCCATAACAAGGTCAGACAATGTGAAATAATAACCAAGGGGATAGCACAAAATTATCAGATTTCCAGAAAGCTTAAAGAGGAAAACGAATGGTGACCATTGTGAATCCCTTTAACAGGTAATGTAAAATACCCTTTGGAACAAGGCAGCGATGCATTCCTAGATGCTAGAAAGATGTGATGAGATTTGAACGCAAGAAAAACTTTCCTTTGTGTGCAGCCTGACCTTGGAGTTGATTCCCTCACTGGCAAGAAAGCCTCTTTTCATCTGCCCTATGTCTCTAGGACAAGGATTGCTGTAATCCCACTGTTTGTTAAAGCAATACAGATGCCTGCTCCACGTTCTTCCCTGTTTTCTACTTTCAGCAAGGCTATGTTAGAATATGGATTCATTGTGCACTTCCCCCTGGAAAATGTGATTGCCTCTATCACCATGTGCCTTCCTGCCTTTATGGAAATTCTCTTGAGCACTGTAATGCTGTGTAATGTGCCTTTCTGTAGAGAAAACTCAAACTGAAAAAAAGAAACACAAAATTTTCAGCTTATTTATGTAGTATGGAGGTGGTAATTAGATGGCCTTTTCTGTGACTGCCTTGACTCCTGACATGAGTTAATAAAAGTTGCTCAGGGATCAAATGAGCTACCCCTGAGCTGCACGTTTTCAACCAGGAGAGCCCCGCAGCCCTCCGGGAGCACGCGGGATGTGAAGTGGGGAGTTGTGTGCTGGCAGCAGCGCGGCAGCCCCGCTCCTGGCTCTGCAGGGTACAGATGGCAGCGCTGCTCCTGCGAGGCCAGCGCTGCTCCTCCGTTCCTGGGTCTGGCCCCGCACTGCAAGTGCCACTGGACCCTGGGCGTCGCAACATCCATGTCTGCAGTCCTGCCTTGCGGGACAGCCCGGGAACGCACAGCAACTCCTTAAGCAGAATGTTCTAAATTGAGTGCACTGGTGATAATGACAACAGTGCTAGTTGGGAAGGCAGGGCTGGAGCTACCTTGGAGATAGGGTGAGGTTTGCTAGGGAGGACTGGGGGTGACGTAAGGCTGAGCCCAGGCGCTGCCCTTGGAGGGGCCCGAGCCGGGCCGGGCTGCCCAGGCTGCGCTGCCTGCACGCGAGGCCCTGGCGGGTGCCGTGCAGCGGGTCTCTGCCGCTCCTCCGGGCGCCGGGGCCTCGGTGCAGGCAGCGCCGCCGGAGCCAGGGCGGTTCTGGGCCCGCGCCCGCCTCTCTCGCGGGGCCGAAGGGCTCCCGTTTGGGGCTGGTTTTGCAGCAGCCACCGCGGCGCCGATGGCTCTGCCAGGGGCCGGTGCCCCCCCGGCTCCCGCTCCCGCCGCGCGGAGTCGCCCTGGGCGGCCCCGGGCCGGCGGCTCGCGCGGGGGGCGGCTCCCTTCGCAGTGGCCGCGGGGGGGCTGTGGTTCCCCGTCCCGCGGGGCGGGGCAACGGAAGCCCGCGTGCTTCCGGGGCGGGGCCTGCGTGGAGCCGGCCCGGGCGGCCGCCGCGGAGCGTCCGTGCGGCCGGGGATGGGGGAGGCCGGGCCGGGCCCCGCGGCGCCATCCGGGTGCTCAAGGTGAGTGAAGCGGGGGCCGCTCCGGGGCCCGCGGCGGGTCGGCTGCGGCGGCGCCTCCCGCCTCGACCTTGGTGGGGAGGCTCCCGCCTCTCCGCCTCCCCCGTGCCCCCCCCCCCCGCAGGAGGCGGCAGCCCCGGAGCGGGTCCGTGACGCTCGCGTCTCGCCCCGCCAGAGAAACGTGAAGCGCAACGGGAGCAGGAGCTGCCTGAGCCGGAGCCGCGTCGGCTCCCGCGAGAGGGACTGGCTCAAGGAGGAGGCCGGACGGGGCTGCGTGTTCGTCTACGGGGGCGACCCCGCGGCCGCCGGCGCCGACCTGCGCCTGGTGCTGTGCTCGGTGGACACGCCAGTGTCTGAGATATGCGATGGAGAAGAGCGGGAGAGCCTCTTCCTGCAGCTGCACGGGGACCTGGTGAGGTGAGGGCCGCGGGTGCGCGGGGCCGGCGGGGGGCGCGGACCCGGCTCCGCAGCCCGTGTGCGAGCTGCTGCCCTCGGACTAGCTGCGGGGCGGCCCGCGCTCCGGCCAGGAGCATCCTGTCCAGCAGCCTGCGGTTACTGCTCGTGAACTCCCATGTTATCTTCCATCTTACCCCCCTCTGAAACCATGCAAGCTGTGCAAGAGGCTGTCAGAAATCCTTCTGAGTCACTGAAACGCGCAAAATGCTTTCACAGTTATGTCTAATGGCATTTATATGTTAGTAAGTTTTTTGCTGAAGGTAGCTTTTAAAATGAATTGCATGGTAAGTGGCAATTAAAAGGTAGACACAGAGACAGCGTGAGGGTTGTATAAAGAGGACTTGGGCTTCAGGTCATACATTTTATGTCTGCTGTTATTATAGGCTGAAAATAGACTTTGGCATAAGGTTAATGTGTGTGAACTTTATGCTCAGTGTATTATGGACTCCTCTAGGTTTACAAGCTGCTATTAAGTTAGAATTTAGACTTTGCATTGATCCTTCTAGACTTAAAATTTAGCAATAAAGTTCCCACCCCCCAAATTCACTGTGATCCTGTTACTATAGACCAAATAATAGAGATTGGCATCATGCATTGGACAGGAGCAGTAGCTGGATCTCTGAAAGTGAATTGAGATTTGTACAGTGCCTGGGTCCAAAGGTGAAAAAAGACTGACCTGCCAGAGGTATACCTGATTAATTCCTACTCTTACACAATGAGGTACCAAGTTTATCTATCACCTTGTCAAGCTTATGTTTGAGGTTGAAGGAGGTTTTGGTTCCTGCATGTCTATTGCCTTTGCAGTTCTCAGAGTATGTTTGACCCAAAGTATTCCTAAATTGCTTCCCATCAGAGGTGTTCTCAGTAGAGACAAGGGAGTTGCCAGGATTGCTTTAGTAGCCATCTCCATTGGTAGCAGGAAGCATGACCAAGTGGGACCTGCCTGCATTTCCACAGGAAGATGACAGAAGGCACAAGGTATCCCTGTGCTCTGCTGAGATAATTCCTTCCTTGCACAAAGTTTGCTGATTACTTTAATAATGTGTTTGTGAATGCAGATTGCTCAATTGAGCATCTAATTGCCTTTTTTTCATGAGTGTGTTACACTCCCAAATAACTTCTGAATTCTCCACCTTTTTATCTCAGTAGGTGACTTTCCATCAAAACCTGAGCAAACGGAAGAACTTTTTGGCCCTGGCTCTTTACATCCAGCCAGTGGCAGACAAACAAACCTAGACAAACCTGTAGAAATACAGAACAGTCTTTTAATTGTTTTTCAGTTTGAAATGATACAATGGCAAGAGAGATACATTGTTTAGAGGATTCGCCTGACTAGGTACTACTGAAAATGCTCCTCTCACACATTAATTTTTCAGAATAAGAAAGAGAAATAGAAATGGAGCATTGTGTTTTGTCGATATCTTCAGGAAGCATATCCCTTCAATTTGGAGCAAGACAGCTAAGAGTTTTCACAGTAGTCGTCATGAAGCAATAATTCTTGCTGAAGTAAAAGATGATAAGAATAAAAATATTGACAAAACCAGGCCTCAACTGCAGAAGGGACAAGTGTGGTCAGACAGAGTATCTCGCTTTCTCAAGAGGGTAAACAGTGATGCAGCTTGTAGAACTATAATTCAGTTTGAATATATTGTGTCATGTGTAAAAGGCTTATGCTTTTACTGTGTTAAGGTTTTATTTTAATTTTTATGTGTGCGAGAAGTTCAGTGTATACTAGAAATAGCCATAGAAAGCTCTTTCAGGAACCCAGTTGTAGTGTTTGAGGGGTTTTTTTTGTTTGTTTTTGCTAACAAGAAGTATAGATGCAGACTATTTGAAGTATTCTTTCTGTGAGTGACACTAGGGCATTTATGATTCTTGAGCCATGGTCACATGCTGGAAAAGCAGCTTTTTGTCAAGCACAGAGCTTTGATAGCAGAAGTGGAATCTGGGAGTAATCTAGGGAAGCATGGGCACGTTATTTGGAGATCCAGTCAAATCTCTCATATCCCTCTTGAATTTAGTACTGAAAGTTAAACAATACTTCAGGGTTTCCTGTGCTGGAAATCTGAATTGTCTGGTGCAGTCTGTTGTTTATTACGGTTTTTAGTAGCACTGATGACTTTACAGTCTTTAAAACCATTTTATTTTCTGTTGTCCCTCTCTCAAAGCAGGGAAGGAAGAAGCTTTTTGTAAGTCAGCTTTTCATGCTGATTGTACAAAGAGCTGCATCTTAGCTGAACTACGATCTTTTCCCAGGAGTTTCAAAAAGTTGAGCAGCATCTGAATGATTGATGGTTGTACAGTTCTCAAATGTCCCTTCTAGGCTGCATACAGGAAGCTACTCTTGCTTTGGAAAGCCAGCGGATTTAGTCCTTGTTTATATGGCCTCTAAATTGTTTCAGAAGGCTTCTTCTCCCAACAAAATATAAATTAGATAGCATAATCAAAAGTGAAGTCTTTCCAGTTACATAGGCAAGCTATAGGGTTTTTTTCCCTAATACTGAGATTAAACCTGCATTGTTTTCCAAAAGACAGAAGGTAAGAGGTTACTTATGATTGGTTTTCAGATCAAAGTTTGAAATGACTGTAGATATATTTTAATTTCTTAGGAAATCTGATTTCTCTTTTATTAGTGCAAAAAGATGGACTGACTCCTGAAAAATCACATATTTAAATTTTTCAAATATTTGAACTATTATTTTGTGTTTTTTAATGCAGTAATTGCCACGGAGATTAAATTCACTTTCTAGTGACTGTTCAGGGAAATAGAAAGTACCATACTGTTGGCAAGTTAACAGTAGTAATTATCTGAGCTCAGTGCTGTGGCATTGTGTACCTTAAATTCTTGTGAATGCTAAGCATTTGTTCAGTTTGTTTTGGAAAGTTCAGGTGTTTTGAGTCTTTCCTTTTTTTTTTTTTTCTCCATTTCAAGGGAGGCATTATCCATAACTGGAAACTATGCTTTTGTTTGTCACACTTGTCACCTAACATGTGGCTTGCGTACTAGAAAAGAATAGTGACTTTTCTTTCATTAAAAAGTTGAAAAATCCCAAACCACCAGCATCACCACCACCCTGACACATTTATGATTACATTTTAAACTTTAAACTTTTCTGAATATAGTTCTGCTTTTTGAAATTTCGGAGTATATGTACAGTCGATATCAGATTGCTAAATTGTTCTCTCTGGTGTTGTTTTTGGTCACAATGTGAGCTGTACAAAATGAGTACAGCTTCCAAACTTGATTAAAAATTATAACTGTTGTCAGATCTTAATAGGAATATGCATTTGAATTTATAATCCTATTTGTCCTATAAAGGAAGGAATAAGGGCAGATTTCCAAGCAAATAAATTCCATCAGTAAGCAATCCTTTGGGTGAATTTGGAAAGAGGGGACAATTTTCTTTGTCCATTATCTTATTTGTGGATTGCCATTTTTGTGTGTGTGTATTTGCTTGTTTTTGTCTCAGTTGCAAGTTGACCAGCTTGTCTTTTCGTTGTGGAAGTTCTGTTGTTTTGAACTTTAATTTTGAGAGTAACCTTGCTTCAGTTTTTGATCCAAAGATCCTATCTGCGAAGTGAGAGAGTTGCAATGCATGTGCTTGAAGTACTTGAGATCAGTTAACTTCTTGAGGTGTGTCCTGTTGACTGTAGAGGAAGTGTGGATGACTAGATGCTTTTAGACGGTGTGTGTTTTGTGAAGTAAATCCTGCCTTAGTTATAAGCTGGCAGTAGTATGCCAATGCTATAGAATAATAATTAAAAAGAATGATTATGTATTTTTGTGCTGTATGAATGAGGTGTATTGCCAGTTAAAATTTAGTAGAAAACAGGTCTTGATCTTGCTCCTTAGAAGTTTCAAGCTTGGTTGCCAAAGATGTTAGCCTTTTGTTGCACTACACGATGTTCTGATGTCATTGATAGAAAAGCAATTCACAACCCGTAAAGTGACTGGTTACTAGAAACTAAATTATTCAGTGTAAAGGATTTTTTGGATGAGAGATTGTGAAATGAAGTGAAATGATATTTCTTACCCTTTTCAGTAACCCTATTTTGTTGATTACAAAGCCACTTCTGTCCATTTGCCCTAGATCCTTTGCTTGCCAATGCCATCCATGGCTTCCTGTCTTGACAGTTGTCCATTCTCTCCCACCCCATCCTGTCAGGTTGGCCAGCCTCTTGGCAGAAATACTTTTGCCCCACTTGGTCAGGTGAATCCTGTCTCTTCCAAATCATTGATCCTCAAAGAGGATGCCATGATGGATAGAGCAGATTTGATCCTGGAGTATAAATACTGTGGTGTACTGAGAAGAATTAAGAAAATGGAGAGTCAGTTATTGGAGAGTCAGTTCATGGATATGGCAGACAGTTGTGTAGCACTTACAGAATGTTGACAAGTTAAAAAAAAACTTTCTGAAAAGAGTAGTAAAAGTCATTTTGAGACAGGATAAACACATCATACTGCAAGAAATTTTAAAGAACAGTGTTGAACTTCACCTTGAAGAGAATGTCTGAGATTGCTTGGTTCCAATTTATAAACAACCATTTGCAGAGTAAATAATTAAAACTCAAGGTGTGGGGGCTGGAATCTGAAACTGGGCATCTTTAAAAAATGAGAATTTTTAATGGTGGATGAAGATTTTTAATGAATGGAACGATTGGAACAATTTATTTTAATTCCATCTTGAATCCTCAAGGCCTAATCTTTTAATTTGAGAGTCTGCCTTTTTTGCCGTTTTTTCTTTCCCTAAAACTTAGCCAGAAATTTCAGTTTTGTTGCAGAAAGTAACAATCTAGAGTCTCTGGAATAAGTGAAATGAGAGGATCATATTTTTTTTTTTTTTTTCTGATCTGAATATACTAAACCTGTTGTTTTGGGAGAAGTTTCTCTCACTCAGCCTCTGAATCCTTCTTACTGTACGTTGTAGTTCTAAAGTTGTCTCTTCTTTAAATGTACAATTTGAGTTGATTTGCTGAAGCATAAGAGCCTTATACGGATAAGATCTAAAGAGAAAGGGAAATTTCTTCTCTTTCTTTTTAGAAGTCATCCTCCTGCAGGATTCTCATGTTGCTTTGCTCCCAGATGTACTTGGCAGAGAAATTTAAGTAGGTTTCTTTTTGCATCTTTCAGTCATTGTAAAGTAGTTTTGTTTGTTGGTGGCCTTTTTTTTTTTTTTTTTTAATTATTTTAGTCAAGGGGAAGGGAGATTGATGCAGTATTCCTGTTTTTGTTTCATGTCATTTTTTTCCTCCTGCTGCTCCTTGAATCATGGATAGAAAATGACCGCCATGGATTATGTGAACTGCAGCCATTGCTTTTCCTCTCCTTTTCACCTCTGCAATGTAATTCTTCAAGTGTGGTTGCTGTGACAAGCATGATGAGGCCCCAAGGACATGTGCTTACTGGACCTTTTTGCAGGAGCAGAATGTCCAGCATGTCAGTGCCCCTCAGCACTCTAACTGCAGTAGGGCAAAATAAATCTTTCTTGCATTCTCCAAACTCTTCTCTTGTATGTTTTGACAGGAGACTGGAACCCACGGAAAAGCCTCTTCAGATTGTGTATGACTACTTGGCTGGTTTGGGCTTTGAGGATCCTGCTAGAATGCAGGAAGAAGCAGCAAACTCTGATCTCAGCTGTATGATTCGCTTTTACAGTGGTAAGAAGTTATATAACTGCATGCTGTCAGTCTTCCTATAGCTGTAACAGTGAGATGGAAATCAGCAGAAGCAGGTCATTGGCTATAGTTTTTATAGATGGCTGCATCAAACACACAATATATCAGTCAGGTGTGGCAGGTAGGAATGTTAGAGAGTTTCACAGTCTTTTTTTGGTGGTGAAATGTCTTTATTCCTGCTGTGAGTATAGGTGGCCTGTTTAACTTGTAGACTGCTGCCGGAGGTGCTAGTTCTGCCTATTGATGATGTCCTTGCACTGCATGCTGTCCTTGTTGTTATAAGAATATGGAGTTGAGTATGGTCACAATGATTTTGAAGTCCACACTTAGAGCTGAAAAGAATAAGAGGAGTTTGCCTGTTCCTAGAAATGAAGATCATCCTTATGCAGAACTTTAAATGAATAATAGCTGGGATCCCAAGCAGAAGTCCTGGAATGTTGGCTCCAGTGCAACAAAATGGGTGACGCAAATGTGTGAGAGGAGATAGGATAACAAGAGTATTGGTGTAGCTTCATAATTAATAGTATCTAGCACTTGGAACAGTACTGCTGTGGCAGTGAGTGGTGCCATAATTCTTGCAAGGGATTACTTGGGGAACTGGTATTTCTGCTTGGCCAGTTCTATGCAATTTCTGTGTGGATGATGAGAGCTTCTCAGCGTGGAGGGTATCTTATGCCAAACTTTGTGTCCCTGACCTGAGACATGGGAGCATCTCAACAAAGTTGCTGTTACAAATAAATATACAGCTTGTATATTAATATTCACGCTTGTTTGTGTTTTTTTAAATATCAAATTAAGTCTAAATGTTCGGAAGATTATTCTGGGTTTCTTAACCATTTAGATACCTAAACAGTAGATAGAAGCTCAAAAAATGTATCTGGTAGATTTTTCATTATTTTGGGGGAAGTGGGGAGAGAGAAGGCAGAATGACCTAAAGGTAAGTGTATGTCAATCAGAAGGCTGAAATGGAGTTTCATTTTGCTCATGCAGTCACAGTGCTCCATTGAAACAAGGTGATCAGCACTGCCAGTGCTTTTGTTGCTCACGTAGGAAGACCATGAAGTTGACAAAAGAGTGGAGAACCCCTCAGAAGTCTAGAATATGTGTCTAGTCTAAATTAAAGTAAGTTACAATTAATACAGCAATCCAAAGCAGTATCCCAGGGAATGAAATGGAAGAGAGCAGAAATCTTCATGGCTTTTAGAGTCGAACTTCGTGAATATACCAAAAAGAGTTCAAGAAGGAAGAACTGCATAAACTGAGATACAGAGTCCATTACTTTTAGGAAATTAGGACTTGCAGGAGTCGGAAGTTGTAAACCAATTGATTGTTTTATCAAGGAAGTTTGTAGGTCTGGTCAGATTAGAAAAATCGGAATACGCATGTAGCAGTCCACAAGAAATGTTTAAAAAAGAAATGAGAATAAATGGGGAAGCAGTGAAGTATGCAACTCTAAAATCCATACATCATCTCACTTTAAGTGAATACAACTCTGTATCTAGACATTTCTGTTCAAGGTGTTTCTTTATAGCTTAGTTCAAAGATAACTGCAAAGATTGCAGGTCAGTGACATTTTAATATGTGATGGAAACATGCTGTGCATTAAAAGTAAAATACATTTAGGATTAAGTAAGAAAATCAAGTGAAAGTTTGATTTTAGTTCTCCAAGGCTCTATAAAATTCTCCATGACATATTTCATCATATTTTATTACAGAGCCTGTCGTCTGAGGAATTATAGTTGGCAAAACAGAATGTATGTCCCATGCATTTTGGGCCTTCCCTGTATTTCTCACATGAGTTCATATGAGATCTCAAGAACACATCATGTCAGTCTATCTTGAGAAAGATTCCTAGAATTAATTAATTTCTCTCATGGGAGAAGAAGGCAGTATTTCACACTTGAGCACATTTGCTCTTGGGGTTGTTCAGCATTTTAGCTTACAACTATCAGAGGACCAGTGAGCATATGCTGCAGCCTCTCAGTTCTTCCCCTGCTCTGTGAGCTGCCATCACATGGAGTTAAAGTTTGTTTCCATGAGCAGCACTGTTCTAATGATTAAATGTTCATATTCAGTGTAGATTTGAAAAGGATTCATGTCTACTGAAATATTCTTTTGTTGCTTGTGACTTCTGAACTTTCTCTGGCATCCTTTTGTGCTTTTCTGACTTGTGTCAAACTCTTCCTAAAATGCAGCTTTTCTTTATCAAAGAGTAATGTTACTTGGAATAGATTTCTGTGCGTTCATTGTAGTTTGGCCTTTGTCATGTTAATTCCAGTGAATGTTTTCAATGTCCTGTTTTATTGATCAGCAGAGTAACAATCAATAGGCAGTCACTTTTATTCACATTTTCCAAGCCTGTTTTTCCAGATATTTATAAGAAACTTTTATGTTATCTTGCGTTTTCTGCCCCTTTACTTGCATGCTCATCAGCTAATAATACTCATCACATCACACAGCCTACAACCAATCATTACTCTAGTCCTTTTGTTTAAACTGTCTTCAGGGAAATATCTTTCTTCTGTAGCTGCTTTTTTCCAAGCTGTCTTTTAAAGACTAGCAGAAGCCACTTCCCTGGTGGCTCTGCAGCTGTCTCGCTCAGATTTTACAATTACTTTTTCATCTTGGACTGAATGGAGAGTGTTTGGCAAGTGCATCAGTTTGACAAGGTGTATAGTTGCCTGTAGATTTAAAGCACACTATGCAGTCACCATCTTTCAATATGCTCTTATAACGATTACTTATCGTAAAACTGTATCGTAAAAACTGTAAACATTAGTGCTCTGACTACAGGAGTTGCTTGTCTTTCTGCATGAGATTTTTTTCTTGAGTATACTAATATTTTTGTCTTTGCTTGTCCTTTGCAATAACTGATTTTGCATATTACAGCCATGTTGTTATTTGTGCTCTCAGAGCTGAGAATGTAGAACAAATGGAAAATAAAGACTTATGTCCTTTTTTTCTTCAGAAAAGCCATGCCAAGTGGAACAGTTAGATCGCATCCTGCTCTCTGGTGTCTATAATGTACGCAAAGGCAAGACCCAGCTGCACAAATGGGCAGAACGTTTGGTAATTCTCTGTGGTACCTGCCTCATTGTGTCCTCTGTGAAAGACAGTCATACAGGAAAGATGCACATCTTGCCTCTTGTTGGAGGAAAGGTAAGACTTTCTTCATTAGCTTTGTGTCGTTTAGGAATGAAGGAAAGTTTACTACGATTGTCATTATCTACAAGTCAATCTAGGCTTTTGCAGCAAATTCCCTCATTAACAGATGCAGAGAAGAGTTGCATAGCTCCTTTCTACTTACTTTGCTTATATGATTTTAAAGCTGATAAAATACTTAGACACTGATTCTGCTTTCACATTAGCAGTCAGTGTTGCAAATGATTATCCCAGGAATAGTTTCTTATTGAGTTCTCATCAGCAGGAAAATGCTAAGAAGGATTTACTTCTGTGTTTCTCTCCAGTGACTTTACACCTATGTTTTCAGTGACGTTGTAAATTGCTGGATTTTCAGACAAGCTGATTTTGCTCTAATTTTTCCCACTATAGGTGGAAGAGATGAAACGTCGTCAGTATACGCTTGCTTTTACATCTGCTGGAGCCCAAGCACAAACATACCATATTTCCTTTGAAACACTGGCAGAATGTCAGCGGTGGCACCGACAGGCATCCACAGTGAGGATCTGGAGTCTGCAAGGGTGGTGGGCAAAATGGCTGGTGGGAGTTCAGCTGGTGCAGGTTTGGTCTGAAGGCAGAGATAAAGCCATGATGCCAAAGAAAGTACCCAAGATGCTTTCCAACTTTTTTCATTTTCGTGTGTGCTCTGTACTGCAGAGGCTCTTTTTTTCAGGATTCTCTTGGTGCTCTGCCTGTGTGGCAGCAGAAATTTTGCATTTTTTCACACCCATTGTACCTACTTTGAGTAGCTAGAACAAACCATAGAAAGTCCTACAAAATGCAGATTGTTCCTGCAGTTGTACCTGCATCTGGCTGAACTGTGGCTCAGACTGGCATGAGCCACTGATAAGCTGCAAGTTAACATGGAGATCATAGGTCAGCAGAGCAAGTGTAGCTTGTTTAGAGTTATACTCTCATTCCACTTTATGGCTTATATATATTTCCCTGTAAGTATATACGCATAAATATATATTATGAAATATGAAATGTTTTACAGGATAATGCAAGTCAAAAAAATCTGGAATGAAGCACTTAAGAACTGGAGACTAAGCATGCTTAACGAGAGAAGATCTGATATTTTTAGAGATTTACGAACATAATTTAGAAAACCTGTCTGTGAAGTGATATTCCTAATAGTATTTCTTGAGCAAGCAAAGAGAGGTCAGAAGGAACAGATAGGCCAAGCACAGGTTCTGTAATCCCTAAAGGAACTACAAAGTTATTTGCTTCCTGTTGCTTCTGGCATCTTTGTGTGTGGAAAGTTCACAGAGGTTGTGCTTACTCAACAGTGTCCTCAGTGAGATGATTTTTCTCCTTTGATGTCATCCTCTTATGGTCTGACTTTTAGGCGGGCTCCACGGCACATGCAGGGTGGAATTGGGCTTTTTGTGCATTCTTGTTGATATCCAGATATGCGTTCGTATTATGTGGCTTACAGGGACAGTAAACTTGGGTTCTCTGAAACTCTTTCCTGCATGGACTGTGCCCACGTTTGGTGGGTACAAGGGAGTTGTTATGTTTTCCTGCAGTTTGACTACTACTTGCGTTCTTTGGCTTTCTGTCAGATTATCACTAGACTGGATCAGAGAAAAAATGTTGATGTAGCTGCAACTCTTTTTTTTTTTTTTTTCTCTCTCTCTCCTTTTTTTTTTTTTTTTTTTCTCTCTTCAGGTTGCATCTCTACGACTTAGCATGGTTGACCTATCATGCTACAGCCTTGAGGAAGTACCCGAGCATCTCTTCTACAGTCAGGACGTTACCTACCTCAACCTACGACACAATTTTATGAGATCAACTGGAGCAGGGAGTCTTGACTCTCTTTGCAGGTTTGCAGAGAATTACTTTTTCACTACTTCAGGGGTTCTGGACATGTCCATCTGAGGATGGACAAGAGGGAGTGCATTGCATATTCTGCTGGGATGTTTATGTCTTGGTAAAAGTACAGTAGATTTGCAGTTGTTGCATGCAAGTATGATGTTAATTTCCTCACTGAATTTGTTCCACTTTTGGGGAGCATTCCTTTGGGCAGATACTACCATATTGAGCTACCTGACTGTATGCCTATACAAAGGCTTAAAAAGCGTTTATGTCTGTTTTCATATGCTTTTGCTTCTGAGATCACTGAGGTTTGTGATTCAACTAACATTATTGCCAATAGGTTTTCTCAGTTGAAGAGCCTGAACCTGTCTCATAACAGACTGGGAGAGTTTCCTGTATCACTGTGTGAGATCTCTACTCTGACAGAGCTCAATATTTCCTGTAATGGACTTCATCACTTGCCAAGCCAGATTGGCAAACTGTTGAAGTAAGTATATTTCTTTTATTTGTGGTCAAACTTCCTTCGTACTTTGGTTGAGCACAGCCAAGTGAAGATGCTACTTATGAAGGTATGAGTACTCATGCATGTAGACTTCACCTATGAAGACTGACTCATGGATTTAACTCTAGGAGAATGTTCAAAACAAAGATGAACAATAAGCTTTGTTTTTTCCTTGAAAATTGAGAGATCACAGTATATTTTTACAGTTACTCTTTAAAAAGTCACTGTGATTTAGCAAGTTATCTTTCATCATTTATGACTTCCTATTCTAATTATGTAAAATATGCCAGTGGAAAACATTTTGAATAGTTGACATCAATGAATTTTGCCTAGGAGATGCCACCTTGCTAAACCACAGTAATCTGCAGGCTTCAAAGTGTGTGAATATACTTTCACTTAAGTGTGCATAACGCATATGTTTAATGCATATTCCTCCTTGTAAACCAACTCTTTCTTCTCTCCAAAACTCATGGCCCCAGATTTCACTTCTTCCATGCAAAGGGCTATTCAGAAAGTTATTTGTTGGAACACAATTGGTGATTATAAGGGAATTATCTTGCTTATTTTTATTTCTATTCTCAAAAGCCAAACTTTAAAATAAATCATCTTGCAGCAGAAAGCTATCCTTGAAAGATATTATTATTTTCTAAGAGGATAAATGGAAGACTAGAATGGAAAAAGCTGTTAACAGTGCTTTATTATTGTAATAATTGTGATTTAGCTTGGAACAAGTACCATAGTAGTGATATGAGACCCCAGAGTTTGGCTGATGAAGGTGTGGTTAATTTTCATTGTTTCTGCTGTTCCCAGGTGATGTGTGTGATATCATTAGGACTGTAGTGTATGTAGGAGATAGGCCTGTACTGTTACTGCGATTTGCTTGTTTGAAGTTTGTCATAAGTCTTTTTAAAAATTGTTCAGCACATTAAATAAGTTCTTCCTAGCTTGTAAAGATCTAGGTGATTAAGTAGATATTGTATATTTACACCATAGGTAGTGTTTGCTATTTTGCTTATGTCAACTTAAATTTAATGTTGTGCCAAATAATATATCTCTAAAATAAATTTGGAACTGTTTGGTATTGCATACATGCAGTTCTAAGCATATTAAGTGAGTGAGAATTATATGTATTCCCATTCCAGGCATTTTATGTGTGTAAGAATGAGATAGCAATAACGTAACATAAAAAATAACCACACTTAAGAACAGCTAACTGTACAAGTAATTCACTAAAATGCTAAATGCAAGATTCACTCCTCTCCGCTGATTTTCTTCTTTTTCCTAATGCAGTCTTCAGACGTTCTTACTTGATGGGAATTTTCTCACATCCTTACCAGAAGAGCTGGGAAGTCTGCAGCAGCTTAGTTGCCTTGGGCTTTCCTTCAATAACTTCTGTGATCTGCCAGCAATTTGCGAGAAACTTGTTCTCTTGGACAAGTTAGCGCTGGCAGGGAACTTGCTGGAGACCCTGGATCTTGCAATGCTGAACCGTATGAGCCACATCAAAAGTGTAGATCTGAGGTAAGGGGAGAAACTGACATATGTACATACCAGGTTGTCCTGTTGCCCCTACAACAGAGGAGCTGTAAATTGTAAATTTTGGTGCAGAATTCTCTTAGAGAAACAAGGTTAACGGATCAATGTCTTAGCCACCGAATGTGGCTCAAGCCTTCTAGTTTCCGAATATGCTACTGGCATGAGCTACCTAGAGGTTGGTTGATTCTTCAGAATTATTTAAGAATTCTTGATTCTGCCATCTGCAAAGTTCTCGGGAAGGGACAAAGAGCATTCCGATTGAGGCAAGACAATGTAGTACTTAGTCTCTGCATTGCTTTCTTCTGTCAGTGCTACTTAGCTGTGCATTAACTTGGCTTCTAGTTTCCAAGCTGTGGACTTAATGAATGCTGGGGAATGAGTATAAGTAAATGTTTCACAAAGTAATACAGACACAGGAATTGTTTCTTGTTGTATTCACTTCCTGAAAGCCCCTCACAATTTTTCATACATCTCACTGTGCTTGTCTTTGGAGTTCGTCTTTAACAGAGCTCTTCCTTTCCTCTTCTTTCTTCTTATTGATATCTTGTGTCCCAGGCAACGTTCTATTTTCTGATTTTATAACTCTTATCTCTGAGTGTCTAGGCTAAACAACCTGAAGAGAGCAGCAGTTGACAGCCTGGAGGGGAATAAATCTGTGACCTACATGGATTTACGAGACAATCATTTGACAGATCTGGATCTGAGCTCCTTGTGCAGCCTGGAGCAGCTGCACTGTGAACGGAATAAGCTCAAAGAGTTGATGCTGTGTGGTTTTTCCCTTCGGGCCCTCTATGCCAACAGCAACCGTACGTTTATTTGTCTCCTTTAGCTGCTTGCTCCTTCTGAAGTCACACAGAATCACAGAATGGTTGGGGGTGGAAGGGACCTCCAGAGATCATCTAGTCCAACTCCCCTGCTGCAGCACGGACACCTGCATGTGGCACAGGGTCACATCCAGGCAGGTTTTGATGATCTCCAGAGAAGGAGACTCCACAACCTCCCTGCACAGCCTGTTGCAGGGCTTTGTCACTCTCACAGTAAAGAAGTTCTTCCTGACGTGGAGATGGAACTTCCTGTGGTTTAATCCTAGGAACGAAAGAAACATATGTTTTGCTGTCTGCCACACACATTCTGCCACACAGAAAAATAGTCACAACCATGTTATAGTTGTGAGACAATACTTGATGGATCTCCTGGAGCTAGCTCTTAGATTAGGGATTATGGATATAGATACACAGGTCATGTAACAGGGAAAGATTATGGTGCTGAATTGCTGTCCAAGGAACTTGTCTTCCAGTGAGATGTCTTTGGAAGAGAGTCCAAACACAGAGCTACATTTTGTTCTTATTCTGGTGCCCTATGTGGCAGATGGAACATGGCATGGTGAGAAGCTGTAGCACCATATTGCAAATATATGGAACGTAGACTCTGTCCTGGGAAGGATGAGTAGGGATGATAAGGGTTCAGGGAGTAAGACTGCAAGTCTCTCTAGCTAGTCTAGTTCTTTGTTGCATGCTGTGTGTGCTTTTCTGTGCTGTTCTTCCGCTTGAGTTCTTCAATCATGATTATTTGCTTCATTCAGGTCTGACAACTGTCAGTGTTTATCCAGTTCCTGGTCAACTGACGTGTCTGGAACTGTCCCGGTAAGTGACTTTACACTACAGAATATAAAGCAAATATCCAAACAACTTTGCTGCTTATTGCATCAATATTTTGAACTTTTAAGCTTTTGAAAGAGTTGAGGAAATGCCACCACTGAAGAATGATGAAAATGTCCCAGACCAAAAGTCTTTTTGAATAAGTGTGACTTGATTAGATGACTAGTTGTCCTTCAAATATAGTTTTTAAGCAGCAAGAAAAACTTGTTAGGAATAGCTGACTGCACTAACTATTGGTAGCTGACTGGACTAAATGATGGGAAGCTCTGGAGCAAGCATTTGGAGTAGCTGCTAATGATCACTACTGTTAGCTTTATTGCCCATATCTCTCCTTGGAGTAGTGTTGTTAGACATGGAAATGGGAGCACTAGAGGATCTGATCACCTTTCAGTTGGGCTTTAGGATGATGCACACTAGAAGAGTAGTATTGTGCAGCCTGTTCTGTTGATGCCAGAGCTGTAGATGAACAAAAGCCTGATTGATAGTCCTACAGAAGTACTTTCTACCAATCATGTACCAGGTTAGTTTGCATTACACTGCTAATCATGAGATAAATCCTATGCATCAGGCTCATATTCTTGTACATTTCCTGCCCATTGACTTTGGTTTGGCTGTCATTGGTGCCATGCAGTGTTCAAAGAGGTCATGTTCCGTACAGAGTGGTGGTATCTAGCCTTTTCTCATTTTTTTTTTTTCTCAGCAATCAGCTGCAGTGTGTCCCGGACTGGGTCTGTGAAGCAAAGAAACTGGAGGTTTTGGATGTGAGCTCTAACCTCCTCACAGAGCTCCCGCCAAGGTCAGCAAACCTTTTTTACACAGCTGAGCTGTATTGCATGGGAGCTGAGTGGGGTTAGAGAAACAGTGCTAAGTCACTTGTTTTACTCCTTGTTGTGCAGAGACCAAATCAACTTACTGTTTCTATTGCAAAGTGTCCAAAATACTCTATATTCAAAAATTGAAATGAACTGACTTCTGCCAGGGCTGCTAGGAGACAGATTCTAGTTATCACCTCACCCAAATGGACAGGACATTTTTAGGCTTAGTCGAGATGTGTTTGGCCCATCCTTTCTCCAAGTTCCTGAAACACTGTTTGCAGTTAGTGGGGATAGAGGCTTTTTATTTCAGTAAGACTACAATTCTTGAGAATGGAGCAATAACCTCAGAAATAACACAGGAGGGCTGAGCAGGCTGCCCAGGCTGTGAAATCTAAGTCAGCACAGAGGAAGACAAGTTAGAACTGGTTAAATGTTCCCTTTTCCCGTCTGGAAATGTGATGAGTAGTAAACCAAGCTGATGTTGTAAACCTTGTGTCTTTCTAGGATCCTCAGCAGCCTGAGCCTTCGGAAGTTGATGGTGGGGCGCAATCATCTGCAGGCCCTTCCGCCTCTACAAGAACACATTCCGCTGGAGGTGCTGGACCTTCAGCACAACCTGGTGACTAAACTCCCTGAGACACTCTTTCTTAAGGCTCTGAAGTGAGTGACAGTAGCATGTTGTCTTCTACCTGCCTTACCTTTGGAACTATGCAGGCTGATAGTGACATCTACGTGACTGTCCTTGTGAGGTGCTGTAGGCTTTATTGCCAGTTGCATTAGAGGTAATGAGACATGTGCTTTATGAGGTGGTAATTCAGGTTACATGAGAAAAGTCATCAAGCTGACTTGAGGAATCAGTTCATGTTACTGATTAATAATGTGAAAACAGCCAAACAGGGAATTAGCTTCAGTTGCAGCTGCTTCTAATACTGTTATTGCTACTTGGAGAGCTTTGTCTTTAAACCAGTGCACAAATTCAGGTGCAAAAGAGAAGCCATACAGATTCCCAGTTACAGCAGAAGGTACATCGGGTCTCAGAGAACAGCAAAAGACACCCGTACTGAACAAACAACCCCTCTTAAGTGCTTATCTATTCAGACATGAGTCATCCCTTCCTAAGAGACTGTGAGGAGGAGCTTATGTAGTCCGCTTCCCCCAGTACTACTTACTCCCTCACAGGCTCAGCAATCAAGCTCTTCAGTACTCATTATTTATTGTAAAATGTTGTGTGCATCTGTAGTGCTGTGTAGCTAATGAACCATTTGTAGATAGATAAATCTTAGTGTGAGTAAAGACTGCTAAATCTGAGTGTATCACACTGTATTGCCTGACCTCGTACGTAATCCTGTTGCGCTGTCACTCTAGGTATTTGCATAGCTCTGCCTACTTTTATTTAGATTGATTTGGATGATGTGAAGTCTGTTGTTTTTTGCTCTTGCCATGGATAGCCTCAGGTACCTGAATGCATCTGCAAACAGCCTGGAGTCCTTGCCCTCTGCGTGTACAGGGGAGGAGAGTCTGAGCATGCTGCAGCTGCTTTACTTGACCAATAATAACCTCACAGATCAATGCATCCCTGTCTTGACGGGACACCAGAACCTACGGATCCTTCATCTGGCAAACAACAATCTACAGACCTTCCCTGCAAGGTAAATACCTAAGGCTGGTGGAGGAGATGGTGCTTACTAGCCAGGCATGTCTGACTTAATTTCATTGTGCCTGGATCAGTATCAGAACAAGATGGAGTCCTTGTGGCTTGATGATGAAAGCCTGCTGTTCCCAGGGGTACAGTGAGGGACATCACATTGCTGGGATGATTGGTTCAGGGTAATGCTAGTTGTAGTGTTTCCTGTCCTTCAAGCAGTTGGTGAGTGTTTGGCTCAGGGTAGCGGCAGTATTTCTAACATCTTCAAAATTATTGGCATGGAGCTTGCTGAGCTGCAGTTACTCATTTTTCACAGTCTTGCATTGGAAGGCCAGAGGGCCATCATCCAGGCTTGTCTGTATACAAGTCATAGTTTCATCCATTAATTCATATGGTAGGTTCACGATTGGAGTTGAAATAGAAATCCCTGGTTAATGTAGAAGTTTGACGCTCGAGACTACCAGGCATTCCTACTAAGTTGTTTCTGTTGTTCTCGATTCAAACTGCATCCTATTTTTGGTGAGAAATAATTAGCTTCCTCCATCAACCAGTCTAACACACTGTCTTTCTAATATGAAAGCCATGTAGTATCAGGTATTTTCCAAGTGTCGTTTAAGAATCCCTTAGCTTTCTATTCAGTTTGATAAATAGACTCAGCCTCTTTAGCTCCTTAGTATGTAAGGAGACCTCCCGGCCTTTCGCATGCCCTGCCTTGTAGCTTGTCTCTGAACCCTTTCCAATTTTCATTCTTTTTTTTTTTTTTTTTTTTTTTTTTCTGTGTATTTGGATAGCAGAACTGGACGCAGCTCTACTGAAGATCAAAAGCAGAGATAATTTGGGCTCCCAGCACCTACTTGAGTCCCTACTTGAGTTCTGAGTACTAGTTCATCTGACTCCTAAGTCTTTTTGTAGCCAGAACTCTGAGGATTGTTTTCTCTCATGTGGCTGGCAGAAATTCCTATATACATTTTGCTAATTTAAATCCTGTGCTGTTAAGGTTAGCAAGTAGTTAATATTACTAAATGTTGAAACTGTAATTTCACCACATTTTATCTGCAGATTTTACTAGATATTGTTTTGTGAATGTGTGTATTTTTATTATTAATCATTGATCTGCTGACTGTAAGTGAATCAGATAAATGTTGTTGCAGAGACCCTAGTAGAAGGAATTTCACTGAATGATGATACTTAATTCACAATTACTTTTCAGTGTCCTCCACAATCCAGTTTTGGGAGTTGAATGTAATTGTTCTCCAGAATATGGTAGAGTACTAATGTTATACTGGTAGAAAAGAATTTCCTTTACATTAATACAAAAGTATTTTTTTCTATCATTAACTATGTTAGCACAATTTGCATCTATGCCAGCCTTGCCATGATTCTGCCTTGACCTTGTGCAGGTGTCTGGTCTTGACCTAAACAAACACTTTAGATAAATTTGTTAATTCCTACAGAGCGCACTTACACAGCTTAGGTTTTTCCAGTCATCTGAGATTTTCTAGTTTTCATGATTTCTTAAATGGTTTCACTAATAGGCTGAAGAGCTCTTTGCTATTACTTTGAAAGTGACATCATAAGTTTATATGTCCTGCGAGTTTTCAAATACAAGTATCGTAACCCTCTGCTTTAGTGCTATAGGAGTTGAAGGGATCTATCTGTCTTATAAATGCAGCTATGACATCTGGGGAACCCCAGATCTTATAGTATCTCTTTGGACTTGCTGCCTTCTGCTAATGAATCAGAAGTGTAGCTGGTACAGTATCCACAGAATCTGCCCTTTATCTGCAGATTCCTAAGGTGGCAAATTCTGCTCTATAAGGTATTACAGTGTACTTTTGTTTCTCTTTCAGCAAACTGAGTAAGCTGGAGTGCTTGGAAGAGCTGAATCTCAGTGGCAACAAGCTGAAAACAATTCCCACAACAGTGGCAAACTGCAAGCTACTTCATACACTTATTGCACACTCTAATGAAATCAGCATCTTTCCAGAGATCCTGCATTTGCCACATATTCAGGTATTGTTATAGAGAGAGTAGACAGGTATCAGAATGAGATTTGAGTGGGAGAATGGAAAGTAACGAATAGGAGAGGAAGTAGAGATCCTCACATTTTGCTTGATCTTCTTGAGGGTACGGAATATATATTCTAAATCTGTCTCTTAGTTGAACAGGGATGGTTCAACTCTCACTCATCTTCGTCGTCTGTCTTGGTATATTTCTGATGAATCATTTCAGGCAATAGGAAGTGTTAAATGGCTAGATAAATGTGTGCATATAAAGGCCTTTTATTATCTATGGTGAGACCAATGCTTTCAATATTAGGGTTCTGGCTTTGCTGTTTATAGATCACAGAATGGTTGAGGTTGGAAGGGACCTCTAGAGATCTTCTAGTCCAACTCCTCTGTTCCAGCAGGGACACCTAGAACACTTTGCCCAGGGTCATATCCAGATGGGTTTTGACCCCCAGAGAAGGAGACTCCACAACCTCCCTGCGCGGCCTGTTGCAGGGCTCTGTCACGCTCACAGTAAAGAAGTTCTTCCTTATATGGAGATGGAACTTCCTGTGTGCAACTTATACCCATTACCCCTTGTCCTATCACTGGCCACCACTGAGAAGAGTTTGGCCCCTTCTTCCCTACACAGACATTTGCTGCTTGTAAGTTACTCTTCTACTGATAGGTCAGCCCGGTTTTTCATGGCCTCTTTGTGGGATGTGGTCAGTGGTGGACAAGAAGAGTAACAGTGGAGGCTCCAATGGGGCAAGATCAAGGGGGCACGAGTCTCAGAGTTAGTCTACAGACATAAGGAACATGTAATGTTAGGAAGGACCAAAAGAGTAACTCACCCCATGAAGAAACAGAATTGATTCTTTTTTTTCTGATGGTGCTTTTCTGATATTGCAGTCTGTAGACTTGAGCTGCAATGAATTAACTGAAATCCTGATTCCTGAGGCTCTGCCCAGTACCTTGCAAGAGTTGGACCTGACCGGAAACACAAATCTGGTGCTAGAACACAAGACACTGGATATCTTCAGGTGAGCTATTGAGATGCCAGGCCTGTATGGGGAAGGGTAACACCCTCCCTGTGAAGAGGGAAGATGGATGCCATCAGAGGTATTGCAGTACTGCTGAAAGTTATAATGTTCCATGCCTAAGGCAGCTGAAACTTTCTACCCTGTAGCAAGGACAAAGGCTGAGTCTATAGCAGCAGAGCAAGCAAAAAGCTTCTTAGGTCATGTGAGGATCTCCTTGCTGTCTGTGGCATGAGCCACCAGACATCTCTAGAAGGCCAAGTCCTTTATCTCCTTTTCTCAGTGCATTTTTTTCTACAATCTTTTGTCTAAAACTCAAGACTCTATGTGGTCTTTTGACCATAAGCTGTTCAGTGGCATTTAGAAGAGAATGACTTTCCTTCTCTCTCCACAGTCACATAACCACGTTGAAGATTGATGCTAAGCCCTTCCTCACAGCAGACACAGGACTGACTTCTACCTTCTGGAGTCATGGAGTAGCTGAGATGGCAGGCCAAAGGAATAAGTGAGTATGGTGGTCTGTTGGATCCTGACACTTTGTCTTCAGTGCTAAGGCCCAAGCAGACTCGCTTCACTGGATAGCTCATCCATCCCTCTGTCTCCCTGGTTATCTTTTTCAGTAACTCAGATCTCTTTGCTATCTGAGTCCTCATTTCTCATGCTTATCCTGGAATGCTTGAGCTTCATTTCTCACCCTGGGAGATGCTTTTGCTCTTGCTTGCAATCTGTGCCGATTGCCCTCTCCCCAGTGTGGACAATGAGAGTCGAGGAGTTCCAGCGGTAACCAGAAGTTGTACATCTTTTAGAGCATGGGCAAAGGAACAGCAGCTTTGCTGCCCCATGCAAACAGTACTTGGAGGAAGGTGCCTCATGTCTGTGATGGTGAGGACCATGTAATCTTTTGAGATAGCTTAACTTTGCCTATATGCTTTTCTGTCAGGCTATGTGTGTCATCCTTGGCCTTGGGGAGCTTTGCAGAGGGAGTGGAGGCTGTGTATGGCATGTTTGATGGTGACAAGAATGAGGAGTTGCCACGCTTGCTGCAGTGCACCATGGCTGATGTGCTCCTGGAGGAGGTACAGCAGTCAGACATGATGTTCATGTCCAACACCTTCTTGGTCTCCCACAGGTAGGACATTGAGCAAGCTGGTCCCAGCGTGACCTTCACAGGCACGTCATTTAATATGCTTTGTGGGGTGAGGTGGCACTCCAGAATGCCAGTTGTTGGAATATGGAGCCTTTCTGTACCTTTTCCTCCAACAGGAAGCTGGGCATGGCTGGGCAGAAACTGGGCTGCTCTGCTGTCCTTTGCTATATTCGTCATGATGTGGCAGATCCAGCCAGCAACTTTTCTCTGACGGTGGCCAATGTGGGGACGTGCCAAGCAGTTCTGTGCCGAAGTGGAAAACCACTGCCCCTCTCCAAGGTCTTCAGTCTTGAACAATGTTCAGAAGAAGTCAGGAGAGTCAAGGAGCAAAAAGCCATTATAACAGAGGTTGGTTTGGACCTTCTTCACTTCAGTCTCTACCCTACAGTGAAAGCTTGATTTAAGTACGTGCCATGCCAAGGTCTTTTGGCTACACAACAGCAGGGAGTATGGCATAAAGATATTAGCATGACTTGCCTTGCTTCTGACCTTGCTTCTCTTGCTAGTTAACTATTCAGTATTCTGCATTCCTAAAACACCCGTCAGGGCCTGAGAATGATAGATATGAGACAAAAAGGATGGTTTAGGGAGAAAGTGAATAGAGAAAGAGATTAGGTTTGAAGCTAGAGAAGTGGGAAGTACATGATACAGAGCAAGACTTGTGTGAGCGTGGAGAAGAGCCATGCTGAGCAACAGATCAGAGCCTGGAATATCATCTTGTCTCAAAAACACTCAAAATATTTAACCCATTTTCAGTGCCTTTTGCAAAGCATGATCAATTAAAGTTCGTTGAAGTTCTTCCATGTTTTGCTCAGTAAGGCAGAGGATTAGTTGCTCTTGAGACATACAGAACACACCTATTGAATATACTATCCGTGGAAATTTTAATGCAGAAAAATTTAATGCTTTTATTCAAAAGAATTAAAATCATTTCCAGAGAAATCTCTCAAGGTTAATTTATATAAATAAATAAATAAAATTAAAAGGGAAGGTTCCAAAGACCTGGAAATAGCTAGTATATGCCAAAGAAAAGATGAGATAGTAATTTGTAGAGCCCTTAATTGGTGCTTGTTTGGTCACTGTCAGCATTGATCCAGAGTGCCGTCAGTGAAGAACTGAGTAATTGGTGCCAGTCATAATAATTTTATGTACAGAGAGTCTTTTACAAGTGTCAGATTTGTTTGATAAAAGTGAGATCAAAAGCTTTTTTTCTGACACAGATAATCTCTTAATATGTTATAGCTCTGTGAGACACCGTGTTCCACTGCATTCTCACAGAAATATTTGTGGAATCACTTTAAGTGATTTAAAAACTAGGTGATCAGTGGATTCTGAAAAACATCTTGCAAATGAAATAATTGCCAATGAGAGTTTTCTGCATGTGTTCTCTGATGCTTTTTTATAATAATTATTAGCAACATTTAACATGTTAAGGGTACAGAAATTGATGAGGTTGTGAACATCGATCTGTATGAGTCAACCTGTGCTTTATTCTGAATTGGCTCATGCCCTCAAATACTTAACATGCAAGAAGTTAAAGAGATTGAAGAGCCAAGAACACTGTGCAGACTGTATACTCTCTGTGCACTGACCTAGAAAAGAGATCTGAGCGCTCTGTCAGTAATTTTGAGTTCAGGAAATTGAAGATTTTTACTGTAGCCAGGGGACTATCTGGTGGGAACAGAAAGAAGGTAAGTAATACCTTCATGATACAGCAGTAGTGTGATCGCTGCTTGCTGTTTTCTTCCTCGGGGTATAATGTCCATAATTCCATAGAATGTCTGTAGAATTCATGTTAACAAAGTTGAAAATAGTTCAGTAAATGCACAGAAACTATCTAATGCTAGGATAATCTGCCTTGCAATGAGAAAGTAGAAGGTTATATTCTCTCTCACAGAGGAGGGGGGCGGGGGGAAGAGTTTCTTTGAAGAGTTATAAGTGAGATTCTCTGGCCAATGTACTGCAGGTGTTTCAGATGCACATTTCAAAAGATTCACTACAGCATGCCCTGTTCAGAATGCAGCAAAAACATGTGTTTGGTCACGCTTTGTTGCTGCCAGCAGTGGGATGATAGGTAGTGTGAACATCTGCACTACCTGGATCTTGATCCCTTAAACTGTGGCAGACTTGGCTATGTCCATGCTGCATTGGCCTATCCCAAGGGCTCCAAACCAGTATGTGGGCAAAGGAAATACTGCTCTCAGAATGATCTATTGCTAGGCCTAATGCTGCTGCTTCATTACTCTTTTTATTTGCAGGACAACAAGGTTAATGGTGTGACTTGCTGTACTCGTATGCTGGGCTGCACATACCTGCATCCCTGGATCCTGCCCAAGCCACATGTTAGTTCCATCCCACTGACTGTACAAGATGAGTTGCTGCTTCTGGGAAACAGAGCTCTCTGGGAATACCTTTCCTACGCAGAGGCTGTCTCAGCTGTGCGCCATCTACATGACCCGCTAGCTGCTGCAAAGAAACTCTGCACTTTGGCCCAGAGCTATGGTTGCCAAGACAATGTAGGTGCAATGGTGGTGTGCCTGAACATTAGTGAGGACAGCTGCACCTGCGAGATGCAGGGACTAACCCTGCCAGGTCCTGGGGGATTTAGTTCAGCCACCACCAAACTAGCAACACCTTCCTCTAGCAGTGGAATTGCTTCAGAGTTCAGCAGTGAACTGTCTGCTTCTGAAGTTAGCAGCGAGGTAGGTTCTACTGCTTCAGATGAACACAGTGCTGCTGGTCTTGAGGGCAGCTTATTGCCACGACAAGAGCGACGTTGCAGCCTGCATCCTGTACTCCCTTCAAGCATCTTTCAGCGCCAACCTTCCTGTGCCACCTTCTCTAGTAACCAGTCTGACAATGGGCTGGATAGTGATGATGAGCAGCCAGTGGAAGGTGTCATGACAAATGGCAGTAAAGTGGAGGTGGAAGTCGATATCCACTGTTGTAAAGGGAAGGGGCTGGAATTTGAACCTCCTGCTGTAGAGTACAGCTCCTCTGCTGCGGTGCCAGAGGATGATTCTGATGGACTTGTCCTCCTGATTCAAAGCCAGAACAGTGTAAACAGCAACGGGGTGCAGACAGGAGTGAAGGAGAAGTGTGAACTGCAGAAATCACCTTCCACGTGCTGTCTCTATGGAAAGAAGCTCTCCAATGGCTCCATAGTGCCTTTGGAGGAGAGCCTTGACCTCATTGAAGTAGCCACAGAGGCACCCAAGAAGAAAACTGGTTATTTTGCTGCTCCATCCCAGATGGAGCCAGAGGATCAGTTTGTGGTGCCACCTGATCTGGAGGAGGAAGTGAAGGAACAAATGAAGCAGCACCAGGAGAATGGAGCAGATCAGGGGCAGAAAGAGGAGCCTGCAGTGACTCTGCCAGAGGAGTTTGATACCGCTTTGTAACCCTGCAAGTACTGCTCCCACACTGTCTGTCCCAGGAAGCCCTGTCCCATAAGGGTGGATCCTCCTCCAAGGAGGAGCTGGGATCTGTAAGGAGTACAGGCATCTGCTGCTTCCTTAGTGGGAGCAGAAGAAGATTTGGGAGTGCTAAGGTCTGGGCTGTCAGCTTTTCACTGTGGAGCCTCAGCTGTTCTGAGCACGCAGAGCAGCAGCTGAGCTCTACTAGGGACTGCCTGGTAATTGTGCGAGTGCTAGGAGGAAGACGGGTGTCCCACACCCGCCAGTAACTTCTTCCCCCTGAGGCTCTGCCAGCCCTGCAGATGAGGAGCTGGCATCTGTGTGGGGACAAGGGGGCTGCTAAAGTGCACGTGTAGCACTTGGAGTTACGTGAATATTTCTGGCCCAGCCCCATGACAGCACCTGACTTTGTTCTTTCTTGAAAGAATACAGCTAGTTGTGATGAAGCTGACCCAAGAATGGTTTCCTACATGCATTGCAAGCACTTTCATTGATTGCACTCAGGCTGTTCTCCTCCCCATCAGCCCAGCACTTTATTACTTAGGGCCTGGGGAGAGAGGGCTCCAGTGCCCCTGTCCATAGCAGATGTGGGGGGTATTTTCCAGTGGGTGTTGTTAGGGCCCTGGAGGACTCAGGATACCAGTGTTCTGCTGATAAGCACTGGTGCAGGGAAGAGTGAGGAGTTGGATGGTGTCAGCCTAGCCTGGATGAGGAAGTACAGCTGGTTGTTAAGTGGATGCCAGTGGACGCTTTACATGGAGCAGATGAGAGATTGTGGTCTTGTTGATTGAGGTGGTACTTACAGCTGCAAGGCTCAGACCCCTCTCAGCAGCTTGGCCACCCCCGTCGTGGATTAGTCACAATAGAGGATTTCTCTTTCCAAAAGACAAAGGATGAAACTAAGTGCTCATGCTCATTTTGAGCTACCCATTCTAGAAGAAATGCAGATGTGAGCAGTGGTGTGCTGATCTCAGGCTAGCAAGGAACTAGGCTGCCCCTCATGGGCTGGAGGAGCATAGTGGTCTGTTCCACCAACGTTCCTCTTCAGCCACGGCATCACTGCTTACGTCTGAAAGCAGGAGTCAGTTTGCAAAACAATAACCATCTGCATTTTGCGGTACATGCCCAAATTGGTCGCATATAAGGTGAGGGTATACTTATTTCTGCTTAGTTTTCACTGCAAAAGGAAAAAGTAGATATTGTTTTCACCTTGAGAACATCTTTATCAGCACTTTATAAGCACATCTTTATCAACAAGAAGATATTTAAAATGGTTTCACTGATGGTGACCTGGCCAGTGTCCACTCAGCAGATGCACTGTGATGCCTTTAAGGTTTTGGACATAGGACATCATTTTCAAAAGAGCATTGTGAAGAGACAGCTGTTGTAGTGTGCAGGTGTCTGAGCTGGCAGAGCTGGACAGCAGCTGCCCCAGTCATGTCAGTGGTGTAATAATCCTGACCATAACATGGGCTAGTGCCTTTTCTTTATTAATTATATTTAGGAAGAAAAACCTGATTTTTTTTTTTCCCCTCAAGAGATATGAAGGATTTGAGATGTTTATTTTGGATGAAATTCAGGCCTTGCTCAAAAAGAAATACTATGTAAACAGCTTGTTGGATACTGACAGTATAGATTTTGCTGTGAAATCTAACAGTTTTATTCAGATTTCAGAGCTCCTTGAATTTATTTTCAGTAGGGGGAAAAAAAAATTATTTTTACCATGCAGAAAAGAACAAATTTTTAGTATATACCTTCTGCTAGTCACCGTGTAATCATAAGACAACTCATCCAAACTTTTTTTCAGAATTTAAATCCACTTGAGTTTCGATTGCTTTTAAATATCCATTTCATTTGGAAACTGGGAAAAAGGTTTATTCTTGGAATCATAACAGCAGCAGCACTTTGAATCCTCAGGAATCAACATCAGAACAAGATTTGAAGTCTAAAAATAAAATTTGAGATTCTCTTTATATAAGTATGCAGAAAAGACTCATTCCAATATGTTTGATAGTTTTAATTCATTCATGGGTGATAAAATTATCAAAAAATCTCTGCCCACCCATCAGTTTCTGAAACCTGACAGCAGGACTGACAATTGGCTTCTCATGAGTGTGAAGCTGTTGTAGAAATGAGCTCCTTTTTCTTCATGGGACTGAAAAACTTTGCACAGAGAATGGCACATGCTAATGCATATGCATTTTTCTTGCACTGACATGGAAAACCCAATAGAGCCGCCTTGCCAGTCTGACCCAGTAGCACTGCAGGAACTTTGTTGTGCATGGCTCTGCTCTGTGCAGTGGGGAAAGGATGGGATTAAACCAAATGCAAAGTTTCATCTTGGAGCATGCAAGAGGGCTGAGCTGCTGCTCCTCATGGAAGTGGCAAATGACTTGGCCTTTTCTCCAGTGCTGCTTAGGGGGTTGAAGGAGAGAGGAAGCTTAGTACAACCAGCTGCTATTTTCTGTGAGTATGAACTGGCAGGAATTACTTATTCTCTCAAGTACTAAGTAGAATCCATTGCTTCCTCTGGTTTCACTATACTAACGTTATGAATCACTTCGCCGATTCGGCAGCACAGTCTGAGCATCCTCCCCACTGCCTTATGTTTTCTCTGCTTCTCTAGAGGCAGGAGGCATCTACCTTGTCTTCCTCATCCAACCTATTAACATCACTTTATATTTCAAACACCTTAGGAGCACTGCTGTATGTGGAACAGGTACAAGTGGGCAAGTCTACAGATGGACTCGCAGAAGGGAATAGAAGACGTTAACCCACTTCCCTTACTACTGTTCTTTTCCAGTCTCTTTTCCAAATTGTATATGCAGTTGTTGCACAGATTCATAATCTTTCCAGAACCGCAGCACTGAGACTGTCCCTTTCACTGATTATCAGGATCAATGAACTTAGTGCTGGAGAGGTATCCTTACCCTGGGGCCGTCAGGCTCTCTTATCCCAGCTGAGAGCAGCGCCAGGCCTGCAGCGTTCCAGGGCCACAGTCAGGTTGGGCTGTGGGTTAAAGTTCATCCACCTCTTGGGTGGCTCTATTCCTGCTGGTGAGCTTGGCCGCCAGGAACAGATACTGTGGAGGCACTGACCGATCTGCCCTGTCCTTTCCAGTAAGGCTTCAGCAAAAGGAATAAAAACAGGATATATTCAGTGAGGAATGGTTGATGAAGGAGTGGTAAGAATAAGGGATCGTTTCCAAATTGCTCCCAGCGCATGAAACGGCAGGTGGAGGCAGCGCAATAGATGCCTGGAATTTCATCGGACTCCTACTCCAACTAGAGAGGAGACTAAAATTTCCAAGGCTGCAGCAAGTATATCCTTTTCTAGGGTAAAACAGCTTTGGGGCTGCAGTCCTAGTACACAGGATACTCGGCCATACTGAAGGCCCTTGGACTCGGGAGGTTCTGAATTCTTTCTAGCTGTGATGGCTTTCATGTCACTTGCCAAAGGGCCCTCTACAGGCAGTATGTTCACCTCTGGTTTTGTGCAGTCATTGTCCGTTGTTCTCTTGTCATCTGAAGACTCATAATGGTTATCTTTTGTTTTTTAATTTTTAAATATTACCCTTTTTTTGACTCACCTGAGCCCAGAGCATGATAAACAAAAATTGCAGCATATCCATTGTTCCGAAAGTAACCTTCCTTCATGCTTTTTGTTGTAAAATGGAGACCATTTTATGTATTCCACTCTAGCATGAGCCTGTAATAATCCCCTCTTTCACTGTACATGGGAGTAGGTCATTTAATGAGTGCACCTTCAGCACTGTAGCCTGCGTATGCAGTGCTTTAAGAGAGGCAAATGCTGCAAGATTGCAGGAAAACACTATTCCATCAATTCTTCATTCAGATGTACAGAACAGTTCAGGAAGGAAGAATATTTTTGCATAAAGTTTTCAGCTGACTTAGCAATAAAGATTTTTACTTTCATCTAACTCTATATTCTGGTTGTGTTACTGCACTAGAGGGCATGTGTGATATGGCTGCTCATGCACAGATGTGCTAAGCTGTAGCCACAGCGCGGGCTCGCCTTCGCTGAACGCTGTGCGGCTGCTTCCGCTCACACCTCGTCCCTGCACGAGCTGCTTGTGAGCACTGGGGCGGAGCAGCAAGCAGCTTTCCCGTGCCTGCTCCAAAGGGTACTGTCGCTCTCTGGAGTAGCTTAGTGGCTCACAAAAAGGAGGAGAAATCAAATAGAGCCACAAGGGCCTGGAGTATTACTATTGAGAGTATTTCTGACACTTTTATGTCTCTATTTCCACTGTTATTCCAAAAAAAAAACCACAAAGATTTGTTTAGGCAGTGGTGCCCATGAAAGCAGAGATAGAGCTGAGCCAAAGCGTACTTTTCAGCAGGCTTTGCTTTCTTTTTTTCTATGAACAAGACTGGTTTGTGAGACCAGGGGTTGTTCTATCTACTTAAGGACAGTGTATGAAACGGCCATGGCTGAGAAATGATACTCATTGAGGCATGATTCTAGGATTACTTCTTTTTCCCCTATTTCCTATAAAAGTAAACAAAATTTGGAGCCGTTTTGAAAGTTAATTTTACCTTTAATTGTCTATAAGCTGTATAAGAGCAGCATCCTATTTCCTCAACTTGAACACTGAAAATGTATTTTGAGAACAATATTCTTTTGCCTAAGCCACCTGTTTTTCAGTTCTAAGCTCACACAGCCTTTGTCTGTTTAGACCAGTGCTGGGAGTCTATACAAACAGGACTACTGTAAACAATATATTTCATACAGAAATGTGCCATCCTTGAGCCCCTTTGAAACAAAGGCACTAGGTCACAGATCAGGCAGGAGGTGTTCACCCTAATAAGAAATTTCATTCAAAAGTGCAATGGAGAAAAGAAAAATGCACATCTGCTCCCTCTTATGTTTATCTGTTATACTTCTTCATTAACCGAATGTATTAATTCCTGCTTCATTAGGAAGGTGTCTGCCAGTGGTGTGCAGCCGGTGCGCCCTGCGGAGCCATGGGCCCTCCCGCAGGCAGCAAGGGAGCTTGGGGAACTGACGGCGGCCGTCCCTGGTACCTGACAGCGCAGGGCGGCCGGGAGCAGCGGGCCCCGCCGCCCGGCTCTGCGCCGCAGGCGGCTGCCGGCTTCCGCTTCAGCCTGCGGACCGCGCAGTAGGCGCGCAGGGCAAGCGTGGCGCTCACCAGGTGGGCCACAACAGCCAGGCTGCCCGCCACGCCGGCGGCCACCTCCGCACCATGCAGGCCGCAGCGGAAGCCCTGGTAGCCCTTGCTGCCGTAGAGCTGCTCCCGCTCCGTGCACACGGGCGAGCCGTAGACGCCCAGCAGCTCGCGGAAGCAGCAGTACATGGCGGGCGGCAGGGCGGCCGCCACCGCCACGTCCAGGCCGCCCTCCAGCAGCAGCCAAGCGGGGAGGCGCCAGGGCAGCCGCAGGGCGCCCGCCAGGAGCTTGAGGGCGGCGGCGGCCGCCAGCGCCGCCCCCCCGGCCACGACGGCCCGCGCGAGCGGCGCTTTCAGCGCGCCCAGCTGCTGGTCCAGGCGCCGCGCGCGCTCCCCGTCCGCGCCGGTCAGGCCGCTGTAGGCCCCGCCGAACTGGTAGTAGTAGAGGCCGCCCAGGTCGGCGAGGCCCGTGTAGCCGCCCGGGGGCCCGAGGGACACGCAGCCGCAGACGAGGATGAGCAGGGCGAGCAGCGCCTCCAGCGCCTGGCAGCAGGCTGCGGGCACAGCGCGCGGGTGGGCGGGCGGGCGGGCCGCTGCCCGCCGCGCACCCCATGGCCCGTCCCGGCCCGGCCCGGCCCGCCCGGCGGCGCTCACCCCTGCCCGTGCACAGGTAGCGGCAGCGGCGACCCTCCAGCAGCCCCTGCGCTGCGGTGGCGCTCCCGGGCCAGGCTGCGGGCGCGGCGCTGCGGGGAGAGAGCGGCGTGAGGGGGGCGACCGCCGCCGGGACCGCCCGTGCCCCCCGCTCTGCGCGCCCCCTGCTCTGCGCCGCCCTCACCGCGCGCCGCTCCCTCCACCCCGCGCCGCCATGGCCGCCCGCGAGCAGGTGCGGACGCCGCGTGGGCGGGAGGCGGGCGGCGCCGCCCTGCCCTGCCCTGCCCGGGGCCGCTCTCACCTGCGCCCCGTGGCCACCGGCGCCCGCTCCCGGCGGCACCGCCCTGCGGCTCCTGCCCCCGAGCGTGTCCCGCCCGCTGGTACCATCCATCTCGCTCTCTGCCTGTCACGGGCTCCTGTGGGGGCAACAAGGCCTGAAGTTCAGGAGCTGCCATGTGAGGAAGTATTTTCTTGTGTTTTTCTGCTGCTCCTGTCGAGTGCTTTCCAGGGCTGCCACCTTTCCCTCATGTGGATCCTGGTGAGCAAGTGATCCACACGGCAGGTTGGTGCTCCCCTGGCTGCCCCAGCACCTGGAGCCCGTCACTCCAGAGAGCGGTCAGTGAGGCCTACAGACCTCTCAGCTGCCAGCCCTGAGATCCATGCTGCATAAGTCACATTTGGGTTATTTTCTTTGTGTGTGTTACTTTGTATTTATCCCTATAGAACTACATAGACTTCTTCTGTTTCTGTTTGCTGGAGGTCACTTCAAACAGCAGGACAAGAGCATTTTGCTGTCTGCCCTGTTCCCATGAACAACGATGTCCTGCAGCCCAGTGGGAGCCACTGCTGCCCACCCAGGGAGGCTGCTGAGTCCAGCCCGCACCCTCCAGCAGGCAGCGTGATTTACAGAAATAAACTTTCAGGGAAGTGGGATTACACAGGGAGTACGGAGAGTAGCCCCAAGTAGTCCGACTGTTACTGAGGTGCAGAAATACACTCCATCCATCTGTAAGTTTGGTGGCAATAGTGAGATGGTTTCACACTTGTGTCCTTTCAGGAGCAAACTGACAGCCCTGTAGACAGCAGCCTCAGCTCAGTGGGAAACTCACCCCCACAGTCTCTTTTCTGTGAAGGGCAAAGAGGCAAAGATCTGCATGCTCATCTGAAAATACACCTAGCTTTGTTACAAGGGAGAAGCAACCACCCCTCTTCCCCATCCCCCCCCCCCCAAAAAAAAAATACCCTCAAGCAAATAAACAAAACAAAAAAACTTGCTAAACCTAGTTCAGCTAGAGGGGACAGGGGTTTTGTGATGAGAAGAGGTTAGGAAACAGGGAAACTCTAGGGAATCAAGAATGGGGACCGTGCAAACACTGCTGGCAGCTCAGTGCTGCAACAGTGAGACTGTTGCCTTTCTAGTATATGCCTCTGTCATCATTTATGTTACTGTGTCAGAATCAGAACCTCCTTGTTGCCATGCACAGGATGAGCTTAAAAGCTGCAGCAATCCTGTGTGTAATTTCAAGATTTGCAGCAATTCCATTTTGCTTTTAACTGAGCTGTCATAGAAAGGACACAAACAAGTTAAATAAGCCTGAGTCATTCTAAGGTAGGAAATAGCAGTGTTCCTTGTGCAGAGCGTTGCTATCGGTCATCCCGCAAGCTGAGCCCAAGATAGAATTACTGGAATTGCTGGAATGGCATGTTCAAAGCAAGACATAAACCTGGAAAATGCTGTGTTGCATTAGGTGCTCTGTTAGAGCAATTGCTGATAATGAGATACAAACTCTAAAATATGGTAGAATTGAGTCAAGCTGCTGCTTCAGTTACTATATCTAGATCAATGCACAAGAGTTGTTAACAAAATGTTTGTGCTCTAAGTTATCATAACTGATGTACTAGCTGAGGTTGGTCAGCTTCATATTTAAAGGTTTCTATTATCACCGCAACAAGTAGTTGTCAACAGAAGAAGACAACAGGGTGGTCAACAGTGGTCAACAGGAAGGACAGGGTGAACTTGCCTCTGCTTTGGCATCTCCTTTTCTTTTTCCCTTCTTTTTTCTTTTTGCTCTTCTGTTTCCAGCTGCTCCTGAGGGAAGGGTCTGCCCTGGCTTGCTGTGGGCCAGAGCTCTAACCTGGTTCAGTGTCCTCCCTGGTAATTTGGAGCATGAAGTAGAAGGAGGGAGTCGTGAACTGCCTCATGTTTCTCCAGTGTGAGGCAGCTGGGAGCTGCAGCACAGTCGTTGCTGACCGTTACAGCCAGATTTATTGACCGTCTCACATAAATAAATAATCACGGGAACAATGAGCACAGCACAGTGACGATGCAGCAATATTGCAGAAAAGAACTAGAGGTTATGGTGAATCACAAACTGAACTCAAGTCCACAAAGTCATCCTCTTGCGAAAAAAACTAATATCAGTGGTATGTATAAACAGACATGTCACATGGAGGGCATGTGAAGAAATTTTTCTGCCCTCGTCAGTGCTGGTTAGGCCTCCAGCGACTGTGATCCAACCTTGTGTGCTGTTTGCAGAAATGAGTGCATCAGCTGGAGGTGATCCAGTAGAAAGCAAAAGAAAAGTCTAGAAGTATAACCCATAAGATTGACCCTATTTCTTTCATTTAACTGAGCATAGGAAGCACATTTAACTTGCAAACTTGTAAAAAGGCTACTGTCAAGAGGAGAAGACTATGTTGTTCTCCTTATCTCCTCTTGGTGTGGACTAGAAGCAGTCGACTTGAAGCAGAAGACATGCGTTTTAGACAGCAAAAAAAGCAAAACACCACTTTCTAATGAGAACAGTGTTGTTGCTGGAGCAGATCAGTTTGGCAAGTGGTGAGTCTCCCATTACTGTGGCTTGGGCTCAGTCTGAGCAGAGGGCCTGACCGAGAGTGTGTGTGGGCTGCTTTCCACCTCCTCACAAGCCGGTGGCGACCCCGCACTTTGCAGGGCAGCTCTGCCTCTTTCCATTCCACCCTTGTTTTGTGCTCACTGCCCTACAGCTTGAAGGCCATCGAGGGGGGCATCTACCACAACAGACCATGTAACAGCTTGAATTTCATAAGTCACAACTCAAACACAGGCTATGCACTTACACAATGTTTGCCTGCCTGTAAGCAAAAAGCAAGGCTAGATTCAGAACTACCACATAGCTTCCCAGTTATTCAGTAGCTTTGAGTTGCTCTGTGAATTGTGCTGTCTTGCTGACTCTGAAAATGAAAGTCTTGCATGGCTTTGGAGAAGCTATGTGTGTGTTTTTGTTGCTGTGTTGTGTTTATTTGTTTGTTGTTTTTGAGCTTTGTTTCTGCTCTACTTCCACAGAGAGACAACCAGTGCTATGCTCCTTTTCATGTTAAAGCTAGGCAATTAAGATTGCTGGAGGCATAATCATACATTGTGGTGGTTTGACCAGAGATTCGTGAGAATGTTTGCAGATTTGTCACAGCAGCCCTGCACACACCAAAAAGTAGATTTAAATGTGCTAATTTCCATTTTTAGAGCATTGAGGTTGTGATCTTACCTATAACAGAAAAGGTTTGTCTTTTGTGTGTTATAAAGATAAATATGTCTTGGGATCTACGAACAGTCACGAAATTCATGAGAGCTAAGTAATGTTTTGGACAGATTGTTTATCTGCACACGGGATTGATAGGAAATTCATAATAATAGTTTTTAAAAATCAGATATTTGGTTTTTGAGAGCTGACTCAACCAGGAATGCCCAAGCAGAGATTAGGCTGTATTGGTGGAATTGTTCAAGGCTGTATGTGCTTCAGAAAGGAGCAGCCAGAAGTTGCTGAAAAGAAATGCAAAACAGGAGGAGCTAATGTATAAAGTGATTTGCAATTGACTCTGGGAGGTTTTTGAGCAGCTTGCTGGTTGGTAAGAGGCATAGGTCAGCAGTGTAAAAGGCATGCAGCTCACCCTGAGTCAGGGGTTGCAGAGCAGTCAGGTAAAACTCTGCTGGTACATGTCCTGCCCGCAGACTGGCAGAGACACAGCTTTGCCAGGGCAGTGGTGCTTGAGTCTTTGCTCCCCTGAAGCTGCCTTTTGTTAGTCCTGCTTGGTAATTCGCTAGTTCTGGAAGAGGGAACTGCTTGATCTTACTGTTCTGTCCTTGTTTACAGGAACAGGCCTCTGAGCAGTCCTGGTAACACAGGGCTAGTCAGCACCAGAGAAACACTGGCGTCATCATCAGTTTCTCCTTTCAACAGAAAGAGACACAAGATCTCTCCTACTGTCCATTACTCAAGCTACAGAAGACATGGAGCTGAAGAGAGATGCAGTAAGAGACCCATGAGGAGAGAACTGTTAAGAGAGGGGAGCAGTTTGGGGTGGGTAGGATGTTTAAGGGGAGCTAGTCAGGGCTGGTGTGGGTGCTGGAGATCTTGGCAGTTGAGACAGAAATACAGCCTGCAAGATCTGTCCAGCCCTTTCACTGAGCCTTGCAAAAGGTGCTTGGCCACACTGGCAGAGCTTGAAGCACCTGCTTCAGCCCCAAGATGCTCTGTGCACCATGGGTTGGTGTAGAGCTGCGAACTCTGTGTGGGAGAGCATCCAGAGAAGGATCAGAGTTACACAGAGAGGGGAGAAACGCATAGCAAGAGCAGGAGAAACCCAGTGCCCCCATGATGCTATGTCCTTTCCCAGTATGGTCGGGTTCACAGCCTTATGTAACTGTTTCTTCAGCACCACATTTTTCCCCCTTGGCAGCAGGCTTCCATCCTGCCCTCCCCTGCACCCCACTGCAGAGTGAAGGATTGTAGGTAGAGCTACAGATTGCGTCAGCCTCGGGGATTGTTGCTAGGCAGACCATGCAGCAGTGTCCTTGAGACCTCCCTGTGCCACATTTAACCCATGGCATGGGGCCAGCTGGGGGGAGCTGGAAAATAACCCTTGGGTGCTTGGAGAAGGTCTGAGTACCTGAAGGTGTCTGGCTTCAGCAAGAAGAGAGAAAGCAGCCTGGAACTGGGCAGTTCTTAGTAGAAAAGAGCCCACGTGGCTTTGAGACAAGTTGTTTCATTGTGAAATGTTTTTGAAGTGTTCCTTCCTTCCTCATCTAAAGCATATAGGAGTGGCTGCTGTGGGAGACCTATGAGCCTGGGGACCTTGACTGAGACACACCAACTGCACACAATCACCTGCCAGCCTGAAACCAGCACCTGTGTCTTTGGCTCCTGTCATTCTCAGTGCGCCCTCAGCAGCACTGAAGCCATCTTGGGCATCATGACTCGCCAATAGCATCACCTCAGCCCACAGGACTGAAGGGAGAGGCACTGCTTGTGCCCAGGGGAGATGCAGGCTTACTGTGGTGATGCAGTGGGCATGAGCTGAACATAGTGGTCCACTCTCCTCCCACACAGAAGTGGATGTAAACAGACAAAATCACGATGACCCCACTGGCCTCTACAATGGAGGCGTCAGCAGTCTGTTTGCAAGGAGATTAGAAGTTTCCCTGCTGTCCCTGAGCAGCTCTTTGATCTCCAGCCTTTCGTTGCCAGGGTGATAGGGGAAGGCTTGGAACAGCCCCTACAAGGCAGAGAGAATGCAGAGTTCTGCTTTTCCTGCTCCAGGCCTCCAGCAGGCAAAGGACAGAAAGGCACAGATTTCACGTCACTTCAAAGTGGCCCACTGGGCAATGGTGTCATTTGCACTCTGCAGCACCATCAGAGAAGGAGGAATTGCATCATCTCAGTTATCTGCTCAAAATCATGAGGCTGGGCCTTGCAACACACTAAGCTTCCTTTAACTCCTCAGGTCCCAGTGCATCCCAGGCACTACCTGTGAAGTGCCTACCTCCTTTCTGCCAATGGAGATGTGCCCTGTATACAATGATGCCATAAACTGTCTGTCCACCAGTAAATTGGGATCTCAGGGCCTTTGTGGCAGTGGACAGGATAGACCAGTGCTTTCCAAGAGCTTTGGTGTCCATTGCTTCACACTTGATGCATTACAAAGGGCTATAATAGCTGGACTCTGCTCTCTGTGGGACCCGCACTGCTCCCCTAGCTTTGAAGGAACTGGTGCAGAAGGAATCAACCCAGGGTCTGGGAGAGTCAAGCCATGCCTCTGCTGGCTACCCACAGAAAGAGTTAACGTACAGGCAGATTCCAGGTGTTTGAATTGAACATAGTTACAGTGGGGAGGAGAGGGCATTTTTGGGTGGGGAGAGCAGCCCTCTCTGCCAGCCAATGGCTAGAGTATTCAAACCCAACGCCCAGTTTGGGGACTTATTTCATGGGTGAGAGCTTGCAGGAATTTCTTCTCAAGGCAGTTTGTCCTGGATGAAGGATACAGACTGGATCTCCAAGCTCATTAGTGTCTCCATCTTGGTGCTGTAGAAGGTTAAGTACTCTCCTACTTGCTTCTTTTGGGGGAAAGAGTGGGAATATTCCCTGGGTCTGTGCAGTGAAGGTGTCCATTCTGACTGCATTTGCAGTTCCCCTTCACACAAGAACTGTGCTGGTGGGTGAAGGCTCTGCTGGGATAGACATTGCACCATGCATTTGAGACTCATCCCTGCTATTGAATGGGGTGTATAGCTCATCTCTGTGCTCAGTTTTGAGGCAGTTGTGTAGTTCCCCAGCTCCATTTCCTCATGTGAAGGAGATATAGAAGATGCCTGCAACAGGGAAACTGAAGCTTTTGCCTTATCATGACCAGCTTCATCAGACCAGTCTCATTTGCTATAAATAGGCTAACAGGGCACTGCTGGCAGAGTAACTGCAGCAGCATGGGGTGCAAACCTCACTGAAATGGTGAGGTATTTGCTCAGACTGCAAATCCTGCCTGGACTGCCAGATGATGCTACAACACTTTCAACTCAACGTGTCTGCATTGGGAAGGGGTAGCTCTTTCCCTCTTCCTCTGTGTCCTGAATCCCCATGAGCTTAGCACCTGCCTGCCCGTGGGAAATATCGCAGATAAGCGAATTGCCTTCCAGTGGAGCAGGTGAATAGAGTCTTAGAGCATGAGCAACTTATGGCAGGATTACAAGACACAACTCATCAAGAATGAGCTCAGTGGCCTAGGAGGTATCTGCCTGCCCTGTGCTGTGTACCCAATTTTCTACAGGTGGAAAGCCCTAAATCAGCAGCAATTCTTGAGAAGGCTTTGACTGATTAGGAATGGCTTGTGCTTTGTGCTGCATTCTCAGGTGCCTAAGTTACTTTCAGGAGTACTTGCTGAGGCCTATAGAAAGGCAACTTTTCCTCAGCTGTGCCTTGCTTGTTACCAGCCTTGGGCAGGGTGACAGGCCCTTTGCTTGGGATAGTGTCAGTGCCCCAATAACTCTCTTCACTTGGCCAGTCTTGCTCCATTTTCTAGGCACTGCTCTCTAATTGAGGGGCTCTGGGATAGCCTCTGCTGATAGGGATAGGTGTCTTGTGTCCACTTTCTGATGCTGCCTGGTACATCCTGAGAGCATGGGATCAGCTCTACCCTTTTGGTGCCTGAGACTTGAATTTAACAGCACTGAGTTTGTGTCTGCAAGTGGAAGGAGCTTTCTAGATGTGAATGCACATAGTGGGCTGATCCTTGTGGTTACTTGAGATCTAAAAGTTGGTAGCTGCAGGGCAATTATCTGACCCTCCTATCAGGGGAACATTGAATCTGCAATGATTACAAGATACTGCTTTTTTAGGTGACCATATTGGGCTCAGCTTATCCTTAGCACAGCAGACCACACTAGGGCTGTGTTAGCTAAGCCCAGGAAATCTATCTCCCACTGACAGATCTCAGGATGGACTCATACGTGATCCAAGTGAATGGCCATGGTGACCATGCTCCTGTGCTGGATGTTCATCTCAGTACCAATGGGAACAGCTTGTCGCTGGGAAAGGTCAAAGGCCGGAAGCCAAGATGGGCTGTCAGGGCTTCTGAAATGTCAAAGAAGACTTTCAATCCTGTCCGAGCCATCGTAGACAGCATGAAAGTGGAGCCCAACCCAAAGAAAGCCATGATCTCCTTGTCTCTAGGTAAGTACTAGTGCTGTTGCTGGAGCTTCTGGGCAGTTGGTGGATTTGGGGGCTGGCAAGAGTACAGGGCTCTGAAGCACAAAACTTGTGAGAGCACCCAGAACATGCCAGGGTGTCTAGCAGCTCTGTACTTTCACGCAGCAGTGAGAACTTTACTATTTTTCAATTTTCCAAAAGGAGACCCAACGGTCTTTGGAAATCTTCCCACAAACGATGAGGTCACCCAGGCTATGAAGGAGGTTTTGGACTCAGGACGTTACAACGGTTATGCTCCATCTGTTGGTAAGCTGATATGCTCCTCCTGTGAGGGCTGGATGAAGACATGTGCTAGCTCCCACCCTATGGCATGGACATGGAGTCCACACACATCTCTCCAGCAGCATCCTGCAACTGCCTTTACCAGTACTCTTACAGGCACAGAAACATGTGCATCTCCCACATACCATAAGCACCTGTCTCTGTGAGTGGATGTCATAGGTGCCTTCCCTGAGATACCTTGAAGGCCTAAAGCTTCCTACAGAAATCATTCCTTCTCCCCCTATCTGAGCCATTGGAACAGGCAGGGACTCAGGAACATAGAAAGGCTCAGAACTTTGTTTCCCTGTCACAGGTTCCTTCCTGGCCTGCCTTGGCTGGGACTGCTCTTGTGCTCCCTACCTTCATGGAGAACATAAGCCTTTTTTTTTTTTTTTTGCATTTAGGTAGTGAAAACAGCATTTGCAAAGCAAAGATCACAGCTGCCTTGGTGGCACTGAGGGACCCAGGAAAGGGACATCTGCCCTTCTGCCAGCATTTAATAGTGAAGGTCATATGGTGACACGTGTGTCAGGCTCCTGCACCTCTGGAAAGTGTTTCTAACAAATGCGTTTGCCATGGCTGGTTTGGTAGCTGTGAGCCCTGTCCTTGCAAAACATGGGGAATGTAAAAGCGTCCTATTCCTGTTTGGTTCTTCTCTCTCCAGGCTACAAGTCCTGTCGAGAAGCGGTGGCCGCATACTACAATTGCCCAGAGGCACCTCTACAGGCCCAGGTACTAGCATCAAGCTAAGTCGCCCCAGTACAGTACAGAGAGGGTGTTTCTGCTTGAGTCTAGACCAATGCAGTGTGGGCTTCTGGTCTGGCTGACACCTACATGCCCAGCTGTGGGATCTAAGGCCAGTCTGCATCCTAGTCCCACATTGATCTCCTGCAGCTCCCATCGCTTGCCCTGGGCTTCTTTCAACTGCACGATATATAGAAGGAGGCTGAGCTCCCTACCTGGTGGGGGTTTCCAGTTTTCAGTCAGTCTCTGCACTCCATTTTTGGGTGAGAAGTTCTCATCTGATAGAGTTTGGGATACTTAGGAACTACCTCATGTCTGGATCTTCTTGATCTGAGTGTGTTTCCACTCACTCCTATGTGTTTTCTGCAGGATGTCATCCTAACAAGCGGTTGCAGTCAGGCCATAGAGCTTGCCTTGGCAGTGCTGGCCAATCCAGGCCAGAATATTCTAGTGCCACGTCCTGGCTTCTCCCTTTACAAGACTTTGGCACTGTCCATGGGTATTGAGGTCAAGCTCTACAACCTCTTGGTAAGTGGTGGCCTGCTAGAAGGGGCAGCCCTGATATTTCTGCTTTGCAGATATACTTTGATCCTGCCTGGGAAGTTGGTGAAAATAATTTGAACAGCCCTGGACACCTTGACACACCCTACTCTGTGTGCTAAACCCAGTTTCTCAGTTTTACTTCCCATTTCTTCATTAGCCAGAGAAGTCCTGGGAAATTGATCTGAAGCATTTGGAGTCTCTGGTGGATGAGAAGACAGCTTGTCTCATTGTGAACAACCCATCCAATCCCTGTGGTTCTGTGTTCAGCAAGAGCCACCTCCATAAAATCCTGGCAGGTGAGGTGGTCTATATGCATCTGGTGCAAGGCTATAGTGTTGTGTCTGCTCAAGTTGCCAGTGCCTTAATTGCTGTGGTTCTGCACAGCCTGCACAGTGTGAACACTGCAGCAAAACAGCACTCTGGCCCTGGGGTCTGTCCCACTCGCGTGACTGACCCCGGCCCAGGGAACAAGGTTGGATCAGGATGCAGGATTTGCCTAGACAAGAAGGGCAAGGCTTACGTCTTGTTCTTTCCCATGTGTCCCGTGTGTATTGGACTGCCCCTTTCCCTACTCTTGCTTCACAGGGAGTCCTGTGGTCCTCTCAGTCATAGAGACTGTTCTCCCTGCTACCACAGGTGGGAGCAGAAGGAGGCCTAGGAGGGATGTGTAGTGCTTGGCCAAACCAAGTGTACAGGGTGCAGGAAAATAATATGGACCTCTGCCCTAGGGCAGAGCTTCCCTCCTTGCAGCAGAGGGAAAATCTGCTCCCATAGAGCATGCAGAATGACCAAGCATAATACCCTCTCTCCCACAGTGGCCTCAAGACAGTGCGTGCCCATCCTTGCTGATGAGATCTATGGAGACATGGTGAGTATGTGTTACAGACCTTTGCATCCGCAGACTCCCTTTCCCTTCTGATGTACTTTGACCATGGCAACCAGCTCTCCAGAGGCAAATGACAGCTCTGCTTCCCTGTATGGTGCCCAAGTCCATGCCTGAATCTCAGTCCTGTAATTTTCAGTCCCTGGTGGTACTTCTTATTCTCAGCTAGCTCCTTTCCTCTTCTCAGATGGCTCACTCCCATGTGAACACATATTGGTGGCTTTCACCATCAGTTTCCCACAGTGTTGTTGCCTCCCTTGTTCTTTTAGTGCCTCATTCACTTAGCCTCCTCCTTTCAGTTCTCACAGCAAGTGAGGAGAAGATAACAGCCCTAACACAGCCTCTTGTACCACAGGTGTTTGCTGACTGCAAATATGAACCTATTGCAACTTTAAGCACTAATGTGCCAATCTTGTCCTGTGGTGGGTTGGCAAAGCGGTGGCTAGTCCCTGGCTGGCGAATGGGCTGGATCCTGATCCATGACAGGAGAGACATTTTTGGTAATGAGGTAAGAACTACCAAGGCATGTACCAGGAACTATCATGACAGTGTCTTTGGCGCGTGTGTCACTAGTGCCTTAGTGAGACAGGCAGGTACTGCTTCTTTTGCACTCGTATGTGTGTCACCCTGTTGCTCACAGGCTTTTCAGGATTTTTCCTTATGCCATCTGCTTTGTTATATGGCCTGGTAGCTACATCTGCTCTCTTAACATATTCCTTGTTTCCTTGTGTACTTCTCAGACAGTTCCTGTGTGCAGTGAAGATATTGGCATTATTTATCTAGCATGTGAAGTCCATGTATGGTCTCTCTGTGCTTTATCGTGGTTCCACTTACAAGTGGGAACAAAGCACTGTGCACTGCAGCCAGTGCCTTACCTGGCTGTTTGTCCATCTCTGTTACAAGAACACCCACCACCTGCACTGGCCTTTCTACTTATAGACCTTTCTGCTCAGGAAGAGGTAGAAGAGAAGAGCAACTTAGTGACCAGAAGAGTTAATATTGCCTCTCCCTGGCTGTTTTTGATGAAAGTATGCATAGTGGCCCCAAATCTAAGGCAAAAGTAAATAGTATTTTGCCATGGCCTTGGCTCTGTTGTATTAACTGTATTTCAGACTGATTTCAGTCAGTTTGGGAAGCTCCAACAATGGTTTCTGTTAGCATCTTGATCTGCAACTCTGACACACAGAATGACATTAAGAATAGTTTGCAAATGTGGAATATAGTCAAGCAAGTGTTTTGAGGTACTCTGTATGCTTGCTGAAGAAAGATGTATGAGCTGCCCTCTATGAACAACTGCAGAAATGCAGAGGCTAGGCCTTGTAACTTTTTCTTCAGTAAAAAAGCGTTCTCTGAGCTGCAAATGTCACTATGTTTCTTTTTGTTTATTTGTTTGTTTCAGATCAGGGATGGCCTTCTAAGACTCAGTCAAAGGATCCTAGGACCTTGTACAATTGTCCAGGGAGCGTTGGAGCATATCTTGGATCGAACACCCCCTGAGTTCTACCACAACACGCTCAGCATCCTCAAGGTAAATAGGCAGTAACAGACCAGCAAAGTCTGAACATGAATTGTTTTTCGGGGGGAGCGATGTCCATTCTCCCGTGTTTCCAAGTGCAAGGCATAAGTCCTGTCTGTGACCAGAAGGGCCCAACAAATCCAATTCCAGCATGAGACAAAGTAAGCAGGGCAGAAATATCAGCTGTGACAAGTTTCAGGCAGCCCTCCAGGCAGAGCAGGGTCAGATGGGTAGACACGGGGGGCATGAGCTCGCTGAGCTCAGTTCAGTCACACTTGCCATTTCAAGGCCATGATCAACAATGCTGTTTGCGTTCATTGCCCCTTTATTTGCAGGGAGCAAACCCATCTGTGGTCCTGGCCTGGAGCTTGGCTTCCATTTGCTGAGCTTCTTCCTGGAATTTCTCCTGTGTTCACCTTTCTCCTTTCTGCTTTGCAGTCCAATGCTGACCTTTGCTATGCTGCCTTGTCAGCTATCCCTGGCCTCCAGCCTGTCCAGCCTGCAGGAGCCATGTACCTCATGGTAAGTAAAGGCTTACTGCACAGACAGCAGTGGCCAGTACATTTTACCTTCTTGTCTTTATATAGAGCTAAGTAGCTGGGACTTGGCAAAGCAATGCTATTTCACGTGGGTTTAATACCCGCTGGAAGACAGGAAGTCCCTGCAGCCCATGTCAGATTACTATACCTACCACACCTACCTTCTTCCTACTAGCATGTCCATCTCCTGTCTGTGCTGTTGCTTCTTTTTTTGGCCTTTCTCCATGCCTAATATATTTTTTTTACCTTCTACAATGGATAAATTTCCACTTTCTTTCTCAACAAGCTCAACATGTTAGTTGTTAGAGATTGTTAGAGATTGTTAGAGACCTTAAAGTCTCTAACATATTTTTGAAATATTTTGTCTCTTACAGTTTTCCAAGTTTTCAATACTTTTGAAAATTTGGAATCAGAGCTGGAGAATACTGCAGTGTCAATCTCATGTTCTCTAGATACTTGGCCCTGTTTCCAGGTTTTACTCCGAGTTCCATGGGTCATTCTGCTTGTGTTGTTTGTGTAATGTCACGGCACTAACATTCTCTCAGACTTTTAGCATTTCTGGAATATCTGAACATTTATTTCAAATGAAATCATCTGGTGAGAGGTTTCGTCCATGTGTTCATTTAGAATGTTTGTAAGTGGTCTCTGGCCTTTTTTATTTAATTTTTTTTCCCTGAGATATTTTAAAGTCATGTCTGGTCATAAACCAGACATGCCAGATGGTCAGAATGCCACTATCCTTATATGAAAGGCAACAGCTTCTCTCTTTCCAAATGCAGAGCAGAAATATTTATTGAGCATTTCAGCCTTTCTACATCATCTATCAATTCTATCATCCTCATGTATTTCACTGCAAGGATGTATTTTGTTGTTAGTATTAGCGTCTTATTATCTTTTTTTACCCATTAATTTGTCTTCAGTCTCGCTTATCTCTGAGTTTCTGGCATGACAAAATTACTAATGCACATTAACTGCATTTCTCTTTGAAGTTGTTTTTTAATGTCTTATTTATTGCTTTTCATTACTGATTGTTCCCTGTATCTTTGCAATCAACTTTTGACTGAAATTATCCTTTACTGTGAAACTGCAGATTTAGAGACGAAATTAGGTGCTTTGGGCAGCTGATGCTTCCTAAAGAATCCTCAATTTTCATTAAAATGTTTCTGTTTTATATTCCAGTCAGTTCAAATGATGAACAAGAATTGTTGAGGATAGGTAGCTGGGAAGGATGAGCAGCTCTCGGGCCATGTGGTTAAGCAAGGACATTGCTGACAATGATGGTGCCCTTTGTTGCCATGTCTCATCTCTCTGCTGTAGGTTGGGATTGAGATGGAGCATTTCCCTGAGTTTGAAAACGATGTGGAGTTCACTGAGCGGCTCATCTCTGAGCAGTCTGTATTCTGTCTGCCGGCCACGGTGAGTCCAGCTCTGAGAGCTGCAGGGAGCTGCAGGGTTGAAGCGTGGGGAGAGGGAACAGCAGAGGGTGAGAGTGCAGTGTCCAGGATAGCAGTGCATACCTGCTGGCTCTGAGCTCCAGGTATGTGGTGGAGTGGAGACTGGCAGTCCTTGGATCACCAGCAGCCCTCCACAGAGCTTCCTTGGTCTTCCCAGCTCCAGAGTTGCTCTGTTCTTCCCAAATTGGCCAGAGACAGTCCTTAGTTTCTGACCCATGCTGACTGTCTTCACTTGCTAACTCATCAGATGGCCCTGACAAGGCCACCACCAGCACTGTGAGACCCAGGCACTACAGCTAATCTGCCAGCCTTACCCTTTCTCGTTTCAGTGCTTTGAGTACCCAAATTTCTTCCGCGTGGTGATCACAGTGCCTGAGGAGATGATCTTGGAGGCCTGCAGCCGCATCCAGGAGTTCTGTGAGATGCACTACCAGGGTGCTGAGGGGGCCCAGGACATGGAGTGTGACAAGTAACCACTATGACCTCCAGCTCCACCAGGCCCAGCCTTGTGTGAGGTGGCAGTGGAGAAGGCCGAGCTGCCCCCAATTGGCCCCAACCTCCCGCTGCCTGCAGATGGTAGCCAACCTGTGGCTCTACCATTTGTGCCTCTGCAGCCCCTCTCAGCACCACGGGAAGAAGCAGACGTTCTCTCTCCTCCTACGCTGTCACTCACAGGCCCCTGGCACCCAGTGCTGGTGCTCCCCATACACTTCACCTTTGCACCTTCCCCACAGGTCTGCCACAGCCCTGAACCAGCTAGGGCAGGCAAGCACGGCTGCCCTGCCACAACCACCCGCAAGGGCGATGAGCAGCCTCCGGCTCTGGTCCTCATGGCTGGCAGCACCTGCGCTAGGCTGTGCCACAGGGCAGGAGACAGCAGTCTCCTCCGAGGGCAAGGAACAAACTGCCTGACATCCTGCTTTTTCTGGGCATCTTGAGAAGGCAGAGCTCTTTATACTCTACCCTTTGTGCAGAAAAAGGGAGTAAGTTATTTTATCTTTTTTTATTAATAAACATTCTGATGTGTCAGTACTTATGCTGTGACCCTGGTGTGATGGTTCAGCCAGGAACTGACAGAGGCTGGCCCCTCATAGACAACATGCAGTCTGCCTGGCCCACAGGACTGTATGCAGCCCTGGGCACCCCAAGGCACAGCCACTGAGCAACTCTGCACCCTAGGGTGTAACCCCACCCCTTGCCAGGCACTCCAAGGTGCAGTCTCCAAGCAGGCTGCAGAGCGTCCCCAAGCCAGGGGACTGTACTCACAATGGACACCCCAGAAGGCCTTGCAGCCCTCCAGAGCAGGGCCCCCAGGGCCTGTCGCAAGAGTCCTCTGCAGCTCTCTCAGGCCCTTCGCAGCGTGTCTGGGCAGAGCAGGGCCGTTCCCAACAGGTGCCAGGACTGCCACGGATTTGCGCTCCGAAATGCTCGCTGCAGCCTGCAGAAAGCAGGCCCAGTCCAGGTTACAGCTTGGCAAATTGAGAAGGAAACTCCAAAGCAGGAAGGTCAAGCCTTGTCATTGCCTTGCGTGCAGGTGCCCCTGGGCCTTCGGCGGGAGGGAAGTGGGTCACTCCCCTGTAGCAACACCTCCAGCACAGACGTGAGCCTTTTACAGCACCGCTGCTGGAGTCACAGTCCAATAAAGTAATGAGGAAACAATGACCAGGAAACAGCATTTTCTGGGGAAACCGGAGCAGTGTTTGTATAGTTGTGGGAGGGTAAAATTGACTAAAGTGTCTGTTGGTTCCCCCAGCCAGATGGTGTTTGGCAGGTGTACCCGGGACACAACCCTTGGTGTCGGAGCCATTGCAGTGCTGTGCAGCCCAGACAGAGCCTCCACAGTAGGAAAGGAGTTTCAGGATGGTGGGGAGCAAAGAGGAGGCACATGGCAGTCCGTGTTGGGCTGCCTGCACACACTCTGCATGCAGCTGGCAGCCCAGTCCGCCACTGGGCCTTGGCTTTGCCACACGCGACTTTAGCGTTAGCTTGTATGCCTGGGTCAGTGCCTCTTAGAGCCCCGTCAGTATCAAGACTCCACAGCGCTCTTGCATGCCTGGCAGGAGGAGTCGGTGCCTGCACGGGGCTTCCTGCACTTACCAGGCTATGCATGTGCTGCACTGCCCCTCTCTGCTGTCCCACTCGACCTTGGGCTTCAGTGCAGGTGCTCATGTTGGGTTTTAGACTATCTACTTATGTAAGGAAGACAGAAATATCACCAGTGAGGCAAAACCAATAGTTGAATGCACTTTCTTTTTCTTTCTTTTTTTTTTTTTTTTTTTTACTATTTTTTCTCTTTTATGTAGTGTGTTGGTAAAGTGTTAAGCGATCTCACTCTTAGAGCCTTATTTACAAAAACTGATATAATCTTTCTTGTTTCTCTTTTGAGCTCCCGTTTTTCTTTTCCCTCAGTGCTTCAAATATTCAAGTCCTGTAGTGCAGTGATGATGATAAATGAGCATTGCCATTGCATTATTTTGTAAAACATAGGAACGTAGTCCAGGAATGTCCATCCCGAGTTACTGATCCCTATTTCCTGCACCTGAACAGACTGCCTTTGAGTGTGCAGGAGTAATTTCATATAATTACTGTAGTGAACAGCACTGAATCTTTCCTCAGATATTTCTAGAGCATCGCTTTATTTGCCCCATCCATAGTAGGATGCCTTATTATGTCATTCCATAAGAAAATGAAAAATTAGGTAGACAAAAGTAAAGCAGAAGATTGAAGTACATCAGTGAGTACAAGTCTTAATAGTAAGGAGAAAGTTGTAATGTTAATTCAAATAATGGAAAGTAGGTGACATTAAAGACTACCAGCCTGGGTAGGAAATGGAATAATGTCAGATAGATATGACCATGAAGTTTATTTATTAAGGCAAGTAATCAGCAACAACAACAGGGAAAAAAAAAAAAAAAAGGAACTATGGAACTACGGAACTACAGCTCCTGGTACTAGGCAGTGGGTGAGATTTATTGATGACCGCATTGATGACCACGGATTGGCAGAGCACAGGTATTAATGTCCATTGGTCACAAAGGATAGAAGCCCTAGTAAATGTCACAAATGTCAAGCATGTGTAAAACTGACAAGTAATGACAGAGGGTTAAAGTATAATGGCTTGTCTCAGGTCCCAGGTCCCAGGGCCTCTTCCTAGAGGTATTACCTTCACCTATAGTGAAGACTTTAGTTACGTGCATATCATCACATTCACAGGTCTCCTTGGTATTAGAATAAAAGTTCAGTGAGGGATTGTGTGATTATGGAAAAGTTTTCAGCTTCTTAGGTAGAGACCAGAAAGTAAATAAGAATCCGTTGTTCCTGATGCGATGGAGTGATTTGTTCATTGAATTAGTCACCGAACTAATAGGTGACACTGCTTTAGACATTGTATGGCAAGCACTCACTATCTTGTAAAAAACAGATTAATGGAAAAAGAAAATCTCCAGTCAAAAGGTCCTACTGATTCAGTTTGAATTATGGAGAGAGAAGCAAATGTCATGTTAACTGAGATGCACAGATTCTAGCGTGTGGATAAGGTGTAAGGCTTTCCTAAACAATATGTTAGATTCATGTTCAACTCTCTGATCTGGAAACAAAGCAAATAGTTGGTTTCATGCAGCTATGCTGATTTCATGGCACTTGCTAATGACTTGTGATTCAGTTTGATGTCTTTTTTGTATCCAGACTGCTACATCCTTGCAAGCAACATGCATTGGTGCTTTTTTTGTTCCTTTACAGCTAGAGAGGCAGGGCAACATGAGGTTCATGTCAGTCCATTTTTCTAGCATGGAGGAAGTGCTTCAAGGAGCACTCCAGCATGCCAGGCTCCTGCCCCTCAGTTGGTATAAACTGCAAAAATGTTGAGAGTGCATTCGGCAAAAATGTTGAGAGTGCATTTTCTCACTGACAGTGGTATTGATAAAGGTATTAAACCGCTCATAAAACTCTTCCATTTCCTTCAGAAAGTTGTAGTGTCTTACGAGTGCTGTTTCTATAACACAGGTGTTAATTCCCACTTCTGCTGGTTGATTTTGTGGAAAAATAAAAGATATACATATATATATATCTTTTTTTATATATATATATATATATATAATCTTACTGTGAGGAAACACTAGGAAATAAATACACATTTTAATTTGCTCTGATATTCCTTCAGTGAAGGGGGAAAAGTTTAAGTTCCATTTTCTGAAGAAGTATATTTTAGCCCATTGCTATGTAAAAACTCAGGTTCTGTTTCCATACATGCAAAGATTTTCCCATGAAAAACAATACCCAGCTTATCTGTAAAATGCATTTTGAACATTTACATAGTTTATAGCCATTGGCTTTGCCTATTTGTTGATCATGCTCTTGTCTTTGGTCGTGGTTTACCAGTTTGTCTGCTTCAACACATTTTATAGACCATCTGCTGAATGATGATGGATACATTCCTTTCTCCTAAGTGTAGCTTGGCTCTTTAATAAAAGAACTACTTACAGTGGTATTGCAATTGCAAGTCAGGATTTACTTGTCTGATTGGGCGGGTGGAGAATTGTTTACAGGGCTTTAAGAGCAAGCTGTAAATTCACGTTCAGCTCTGGGACTAAATTGTGCCAATTCAGATAAGCCATTTTATATTACACTGTTTTTAAAGGGATAACAACTTTAAAACTTATAAGCAAACGTAAGGGAAAGGCTGCAGCAATGTTTGACTGGGAACAAACCAGCCTGTGTGTGCCAGAGAACACTTGGACATGAGGAGATGTCCAAGACCATCGTGTTAGTCGTTTGTCTCTGTCTCCTTCTTCCAGAGGCTGTAGTGCTCTAGGGCGTAAGATGCCAGTAAGAAAGGCACACATATTCCTTGTGGCATTGCTTAAAATATGAATTATTTGAGCTAGGCCCAGTAGGGGCAAGAAGATAGAATAGATAATCTTATGAGCTTTCAGTTCCAGGAACCTTAAGTTGTACCATATCAGGTGGACTTGCATATAGCTGATATCTAAAGATATTGTAATTTGCAAGTATGTCTTAAGCTTTTTAGCTACAAGATTCTTATCTACAGAGCAATTTCTGCAATTAATATGCAAGAATAGAGACAAGTAAAATAAATATTGAATGTGAGAATTGTTCTAGTATAGCAGTGAAAAGTTACAATTTACATTTCAGTGGGGCACTCTTGTAATCCATACTAGCATTGGCAGTGGTGGATAGATTTCCAATTGCAAGGTTCAAAAACTTATTGAGAGAGTTCTTCAACTCCCTTCATGCTTTAATATTCATTAGTTTATTCTTGGTGTAATTGGATGGATTTCAATGAGTTTGGACTACTCCACATCTTCCTGTCTCTCTCCTCCTCTGCAGGGGCAATTAAAGAAGACCTGGCATTAACAATTAGCAAACTAAGTTTATCATGCAGTCAAGGGCACAGCACCAGCCTGAGAGACAAGCTGAACGTGCAGCATAGCATAGCATAGGCCTATGCCTGCACAACTCTTGTTGGATGACAGACTCCTCAAAGTGTGCTGGTCCTGAGTTAGGACTGCTGCAGAAGCCACGTGGAGCAAATACTGCTTTCACTTGGGAGGTACCTTCTCTAACAGAAATGAGTATAGACATCACACTTCTGCTCCTATACATCCAGTGTTTGACCAGCAGCTGCATTCCCTGCCCTCTTTGATGTATAAGGGATGGAGAACCTCACTGCATGGGCAGTTCACAGGGTTCAGTAGCCTCTGAGTGCCCAGAAAGCACCTCTGACTGAAGAAGGAGTGTAAAAAGCAGAAATGCACTTGGCCATTGAGTGATGTGGAAGCAAGGTGTACAGCACAGGAGAACCCGATAGCATAGAGGAGCAGGCCTTCTGCCTAAAACCAGTAATAAAGCCTGTGTCCTCTGGTATGTCAGCAGTAGCAAGTGGCCTGTCCACGTGTATTTAGCTCTGCTAAGTGTGATGTCTGTCTCCCCAGAAGGATGGGAGTCACCTGGACTGTGCTGAAGCAAGGTTTCTGGGAATAGGCAGGAGCCTGCAAATGTTTCCAAAGACATTGTGTGTTCACTGTGGCTACATACAAGGAGAGGTAGAGCAGGCAGCTCCCAGCATGGCTGTAATGTGGAAGCATTTCTGAACCAGGTGTCCAGCTGCAGGGTGGTGCAGATGAAGCCAGAACCTTGCCAGTACCTGCTCTCGTCCCCCTGGGCCCTCTCCTTGTGTGTGGTAGCTGGCAGAGACTGACGGTCCCTGAGGACACAGAAGTGACTGACAGTGAACATTTAAACTCGGCTAACTGCCATTTGCTCCTTTCATCTGTCACCTAAATCTTATGAGTCAGATGTATAGGGAGAACTGTGTCCATTGTTCAGGAGCCAGCGGATCCCTCCTTGACTTCCCACAGGTCTCAGGGGAGGAAGCATGCCAGAGCAGGGCACCTCCCCAGCCATGTCCTGTGAAGAGGGAGCATTCTTCTTCCTTCCCCTCTACATTGCTCATGCTGCAGAGGCTGCTGGTTGGAAAGATGGGCCAAGCTGCTGGTACTTGGGATATATGCAACTAAAAAACTCCTGCAAAGAGAAGACTGAACAGCAGTGTTCAACTCTGACCAGGAACCTGGATACTGGGTCAAAGGATGGGGATATCTTGGGCAGACAACTTTCAGGCAGAGCAGGGAAGAATAAGGTTCCAGGAAGAGCCATGTAGATGTGTCAGCACCATTGCAAACCTGGAGTGCAAACCTGCGACACTCACTAACTTACAGGTAGGTCCTTACCAGAGGTGTCGAGGTGTCAAGTTGTCAGCGGATGATGTAGTATGCATAACTGAAAGCCCTACCACAGTGACCATTGTATGGTTCCCTGTGCAGGGCCCTTCCAGAGCCACTGCCAGCTTCTCGCCTTGGTTCTCAAACCAGGGTTACCAGGGCATAACCATCTGTGTCTGCAGCACAGCACAGGGAAAGGGAACGTGACCTGCCCCAGTCAGGCTTTCCCTCCTGCTGGGAGAACCAACCTCGCCTGGATTTTTTTGCTTCTGATGTCTCCTATGTTCAGCTAGTTCTCAGAGCAGCACATTCGGATCCCTGGGGAGAGAGGATACCATAAAGAGAGGGTAAACACCTCACCAGCAGGTGAGACAGGGAAAGTGAGACCTGATGTAGGAGTGATCCAAAGCACTGTCTCTGTATGGTTGCAGGCTGCCACCCATTTCTCTGGAGTTCAACTTCTGCCCCACTTGACCCAGCGCAGTTTCACCATAGCTCCAGCACTATGTAAACCATTAGCAGACAGCCCTGACTGCGAAAAAACATAGGCCAGTATTCCCCACCTTGCCTTCCTAGTGGATGACTTTGTCCTTACTGCAACAAGGTTGGCCCCACTACCCCCGGCAGTGTCCAAGAATTGTGTAGATGAGACAATTAGGGACATGGTTTAGCAGGATAATGTTGAAGGGCTTACAGTTGGACTCGATCTTCAAGGTCTTTTCCAGCCATAATGGTTCTGTGATTCTAGGGTGTCCTGTTTGTCCCTGCGTTTGATCTGTCAAAGTCTCTTGGGGCCTGCAATGGAAAATGATATCTGAGGTAATAGTTCCGTTCAGTTGCACTTGGGCGTTTCCTGGCACTTCTCCTTTAACAACAGGATCTGATAATTCCCATCCTTTTGAGAAGCTCCATCCACCCTTCTGCTGGGTGGAGTTTTGTCCTGTAAGGCAGGTTGAAGTAGGCGGGCCCTGTGAAACCATAAGTCTTAGAGTCAGGACAGGCTTGCACAAATCCAGGGAGCAGGTGACATCGATAGAGGTAAGAGCTCAACACATGTGTGAGAGCCTGGCCTGGAGACTGCCTGCCCATAGTGACTGCACAGGGCTTGTATGACTGCAGTGGAGTGCATGTAGAAGGACAGCATGGGTGCAGGGCAGCAGAAAGGACCCTTATTTGGACCATATCTGATGACACTGCAAGAACACATGTTAAGGTGACATTTTCCAACCACTTCTTGATATCTATTGTGGATGCTGTGTTGCCTAGAGCTGTGTTTGCTACTCATGCAGCCTGAATAGGGAGATAATGTTTGTAAAAGTTGGTTGTAATATCATAATGTTTAAACATATTGATGCTAGTAAAGATTTCCTGTGAGGGCAAAAGCTGCTGATCTGGCTTGAAGAATAGTTCTCGCTTCACACAGATTTCCTAATGTCTTCTCAATGCTTTACAGCAAACCTGAATGTGCAGATGTCACTGCTAATTCTGCAGCTGCTTAGGTCAAATTGAAGATAGATAAGTTAAACCTGTGGGCAATCAGCAGCAGCCTCAAAGCCCAGGGCCTTGGTATAGATGCTCTTTGCTGCAGCAGTACCATTGCAGCATGGAGGGATATGTGTGTGCTCCCCAGAGCTTGATGCAGAGTAGTGAACTTTGTGTGCTGGGCAAGTGCTGCTGTGCTCCTGGTCAGTAGGTCTCTCTGGTGCTGCTTTCTGTACTACCTTTTCCTTGCCAGGATCAAGCCTATCTGATGCCACTGTATGTATCCAAAAGGAAAAAAAAAAAAAAAAGGAAAAAAAAAAAAGAAAAAAAAGACAATTGAAAATCTATTAGTTTGTTGGATAGACTCCTGCTGCTCAGGGCAGGCAGTTCCTTGCTCAATTCCTTGCCCTCTCCTAACTGTGCTGTGGGAGACTCTGCAATGGGGACATTTTTCAGTAGTTTCTGTTCTTTCTCCTGAGTACATGTGATGCTTCTTGTTCTTTCTTCTCTCTGCTCTCACCAGCTGATAACAATGTGTCTTTTTGGATCTGCACTTTTCCATCATTGCTCCTCTGTGAGGGCTTCATTTTTCACCTTTGCAATGCAAAGTGCTTTGAACTTTGAGCTGCTCTGCTTGTAATTTTTTTATGTTTGATACATGGCAGGGGGAAGGGTGTTAAAAGCTAGTTTAGAAACATTCCAAATTCTGTGATTGAGAGCAGAGGAGGCTAAAGAATAAGGTCATGCAAATAGCTTTCTTTTCATATTAGAAAATGCCTGATAAAGCTTCTGTCTGTCTTTGCTGCTCCTGTCTTATATTTCACTAGGGACTCAGAGCTCACTTCAGTCTCTCTCCTGCTCCCTTTGGGGCAGACAGGTCAGGGCTAGAAATGCTTCTTGTGTAAGAGTGAGGAAGTTCCCTTTGCATTGCAACCTGACATGAAGGCCATTTCTTGGACCCACACCAGAAGTGGTCAGAGGGATGGTCTGTATGCTTGTGAAATATCTAAGGTGTCTCAGATGGGCTTTATTCAAGACAGCCAATGTGGTTATCGCTGAGTGGTTCACCCTGACCTGTAAGTTGAGGGAGAAGATGATCCTTGTGCAATCCTAGCCTTTCTTACTAAAATAAAACTTATGTCATGGTAGCTCTTATTGGTCGTAACTAGGCTTACCTATTGTGCCAGATTTTGCTCTGGCTCTGAGACATTATCGTTTTTGCCCAGTATGCCCTGGCTTGAACAGAAAGCACAGCAAGTATGTGAACCAAACAAGCAAACTCATGCAGATATGCTGGAGTAAGACTGTATCTGGAAATGTGAACATTAGTGCTGTGGTAACTGAAACCACGGGAGGGGCAGCATTTTGCATCCTCACTGCTATGCAGCCCATCCTGAAAGCTTTGTGGATTGAGGGAATTGAGGTCTGGCACAAGGGAGAGCTGGTGGAAGTTTTGACTCCGAATGCTTTCACGTTTTAACAGGTCTGTTCTGCCACAGCACAGATCAAGTGCTGGCTGGCACGGTCGGCAGGGGAAGGCTCTGGCTGCACCCTGTGTGTTCATGGTACTTTCAGGAGCATGGCGGGTGCCCAGGCAGGTGGTGCAATGCACACTCACCTATTTGGGTGGGTTTCACAAGGGAGGAGCTGCAGTCAGAGTGTGCGTTAATGCTCACTTTGCTACTGAGTCCTTCTGGGCTCACCTAAATCCCATCCCTGTCAGTGCGCTCCTGCGGGCCCTTGCTGTGCTCCTGTGAGAATTGTCCCCAGACAGCACAGCAGCTCCGGGCGCTTTCTGACCATGAATCACTCCAGGCACCCAGCGTGGGGGGTTGGTGCCAAAGCCCTGGGCAGGGCTTTCATTAAGCCTGGCATGTTGCACTGCACCTCATCTCATGAGAGACCTGAGGATGAGTGGGGGCGAAGGAAGTGATAGCATCAACTGAGGATTTCTAAGAAGGCATTAGGCTAAGAAAGGGGCAAGCTGGAGGGGAACCCACCTAGGCAGAGGTGGATGAAAGAGCCTTATGGGTCTTTTTAGCAAAACTGTCTCATGCTATGATTGTGGAGTAGATGATGATATACCTAGGTATATTACAGTGTCAGATGACTTCCTTTGATACATATGTCTGTGATGACAACAAATATTTCCTGAAAGTGTATTCATATACATAAATATATTTATTAAAAAAGGAAAAGAAACTGAAGTTTACATTGTATTTTTATGACATCCTGGAGGAAAAAAAAAAAAGAAAAAAAGAGGCAAGTGTAAACATGTTCACAGCCAGAGGTAACAACATGGAACTGTTTTATTCTGGACAAAAACTTTTTCTTCCATCTTCCCTCAATAAAAATTTCCAGTAGTATGTCTGCAGGGATGGTTTGCACTTTCATCTGTACTGAATCATTTGAATATGCAGCAGTATCTCTTAAACTTAGATAAAGGTCAAGACAAGCTTTTTGGTTTTGTTTTTTTTTTTTTTTTTGTTTGTGATCTGCTAAAAAATCACTGGAATGACTTACTAATAAACAGGGTTTTCATTACAGAAAAGTTACAGCCCTACAACATTTGTGTCCTTTCTAAAGACAACTTTTTCCTTAGCTGTCCCAGTGTCACTGCTGGTGTGGTGGTCTCCCAAAGCCTCAGGCCTGCAGAGGGACCAGCAGGTTCCCCAGTGCGCCACATCCTGCCTTCCTTGTGACCTTGTGAAGGTGAATCTCCTCTGTCTGTCTTCGCAGGTCCCTTGTCGTCATGATGAAGTTTAAAGGGGTGCAGGTGCTCATGATTCTTACAGTTCTGTCCTTTGGTGTGCTCTACTTCCTCTTCCTACCCTGCAGCAACAATGCCCCCATGGAAGAAAAACAATCTCCAGTCCACATCCTCATCCTGTCCTCCTGGCGGTCAGGATCTTCCTTCACAGGACAGATCTTCAGCCAGCACCCCAGTGTCTTCTATCTGATGGAACCTGCGTGGCACGTGTGGGTCACGATGTACCAGAGCAGTGCCAAAGTCTTGCACATGGCAGTGCGGGACTTAGTCAGATCTGTCTTTCTGTGTGATATGTCTGTGTTTGATGCCTACATGTCTAGTCAGAAGAAAAAGTCTGATTTATTTAAGTGGGAGACAAGTCGGGCTTTGTGCTCCCCTCCTGCCTGTGATTCATTCAGCCGCAGTGACATCATAACTGCGGGCAACTGCAGGACAATCTGTGGCCGATACCCATTCAGCAAGGTGGAGGAAGCCTGCAAGACCTATAGCCACATTGTCATCAAGGAGGTCCGGTTCTTTGACCTGAAGGTTCTCTACCCGCTTCTCACCGATCCTTCTCTGAACCTCAAAATTATTCACTTGGTACGTGATCCTCGTGCTGTTTTCAGGTCCCGGGAGAATACAGTGGCTGATCTTACACGTGACAGCAATATTGTTGTGGGAACCCAGAAGACAAAGGGAGAGATGGGACCCTACAACACAATGCAGGAAATTTGTAAGAGCCACATTGAGATTTACAAAGCAGGCAGCCAGACCGTTCCTAGCTTCCTCAAGGACCGTTACCTGCTGGTTCGCTATGAAGACATTGTCAGAGATCCGCTAGCAAAGGCTGCTCAGATGTATCAGTTTGCAGAGCTCCACTTCACACCAGAGCTTCAGAGGTGGGTTCACAACATAACCCATGGGAAGGGACAAGGTACACAGGCCTTTGACATTGAGTCTAGGGATGCAGTGAGTGTATCTCAGGCCTGGAGGAAGACCCTTCCCTTCCAGAAAATAGAAAAAGTGCAAAATGTGTGCAAGGATGCAATGGACTTACTGGGCTATCGGCTAGTTCAGTCCGAAGAAGAACAGAAAAATATGTCATTGAATCTTTTGTTTGCCCAGAACTCCTCTGAGTGATAAATTATGAAGGCAGGAAAGCTGCTCTCCGAGCACCATGCAGAACTATTTGCTAGAGCAAAAGAGAACAGAGGTACATGCATATATGTATGCAAGTGACTGCACACACGTGTGGACTGTAAAAGGACTGTTACCACAGGAACAGAGTGCCATGAGGCCCTGTTCACATGTATGACTGCTTTCCCAGCAGAGCAGCATCCTTCTCCAAGGCCAGGCAAGCATGTTGTCTTGGAAAGGCTCCCAAAGGCTCAGCCACTGGGTAGCTTGAAGTAATGCAAGGCCATTTTCCATATAAAGCTCAGGGCTTATGAGAGAGAGGAAGTACGTGCAGATGGGAGCAAATGCCCAAGGAGCAGGACCAGACATGAGAGTACAAATCATTCACAGAGCACAGCTAAATACTAGTGAAGCCATGCAGAGCAACTGCACGCAAAAGAAGTGGCATGAAGATATGAAAAATATGAGATATGACCAGAGAGCTGTCCTAGTCATGCAGCTACTGTATTATTTAACGCCAGAAGAGACATAAGGATGAACAGACAGATATTGGTTCCTGGAAAAATGCCTTCTGTGAATGGCTGAGTTTTCTAACCCAGTTTTTCATTTTTTTCTGTTCCTGTCCATGAAGATCCACCATTGGTAGCAATGCTGGGAAAAAATGTTGGTTCACTTACCGTATAATGGGAGAATAGAATAAATCTGCTATAGATGAAAATAAAACATTATTGGTTTCGGTACAGGGACCCATTGGTTTCGGTACAGGGACTACGTGAATTCATTTATTTTTCTGCTGACACAATCGTGCCTTCTAGTTTTCAACACTAGTGATGATTCCTTCCTGCTAGGAAATCTCACAGACCTCATTTGAGACTGAGAAAAGAATTATGCTGTGACCGAAAATTAAAGACAACGTAAGGACACAGATTCCTTGATAAAAATGCTGCAACTGGAAAGGTATGTTCAGGACAGTGGGAATCGCTTGGTATGTTCCTTCTAAATCAAATTCCCTTTGATTCAGGGGATTCCACCTAAATAAACAGGTGGGGTGATAACTTGGGACAGAGCCGGGACAGCAGTTTAAAATTCAAGCTGAAACAAACACCTCTGCTGCTTGTTTGAATGTAGATTGGGCAAGTATTGTGTCAAGCAAAACTGAAAAGCCTTCATCTTTTGAGGGAAATAAAACAAATGTAATAGAAGTTTGGAAGCTGGAAGATCTGCTGGTTCCTTAAACCACATTTTGCTTTGTCCTGTTTCATCTCACAAATGAGTTTATCTGGAATATGAAGACACTTATCTATTTTTAATCCCAAAGAAGAATTACAGAGTATATCCCCCGCTGACTAGGAGGCATTTGTGAAAAGTGATGCTAAGTAATTCTACAAATAGTAACACAAATTTTCCCATAGAAATTAGTGTAGTAAGAGGGGGATGCATACAGAAACTTAAATACATACAATTACAATATACAGGTAACGTTTTCCCCCAAAATATATATATATATATTTTTTCTCCTAGAGCCGTTTAGGCACATGGAGCTTTTTTGTTAAAACAGACATCAAGATAGCTGACTACTGGCCTGTGAAGGTAACCAATAAAACGTTTTCCAGAGCAGGGTGTTAGACGATCAGCCTGGGAATTCAGTGACAGATACATAACAAAGCGCACACTGCTATAGATAACTAATGCAGTGAAAGATCAGAGCACTGAACAGGGTTTGTTCACACACTTCAGTGCTCTCCCTCTCAAAAACCTTCCCATGCAGCAATGTACAGGTGGTTTATCTAGCAAACCAACAAAGAAAACAAAAAGCTCTTTTACCTACAAGTTGAAATTGTACACCTGCTATCTATACTGCACAGCATCTTTCTTCACCTATTTTTAAAGTTTTCAGCATGTTCACTATTACAAAATCAAAAAAGAAAAAGTCCTTTATATATTTATAAAAGCCTGTTCATTTATTTGTGAGACTTCAGAAGACTGTTTTTTTCCATCACATTGGCACATACAAAATGACTCTGCTTGTATAAGTCCTTGGCACAGTCCAAAATGAGCCACTCTCTGCTACTTTACTTTCTAACTCTTCCTAAATGCTATTCTTTTTGCTACATTTTCAGCTCCAAATTTTGCTATCAGTTTGTTTCTGATATTTTTATCATGTTTTTGCAATTCCAAGTCATCTTCTCTGCTCCACACAGGGTACCCGTCCAAGCGCTGTCCTGTCTGCAGAAAGTTGAAGGTAGTCTCCACCTCACCAGTATTCTTCAGAAGGGCCTGGGTCACAGTGAGCAGGTCCATACTGAACTTCTCCATTAAGTGCTGTATAGTTTTCACTGCCTCTCCTACTGCAGCAGCAGATGGGCAAATGCTTTTTTGTCTTTCCTCCTCTTGCAGCTGAGTATCAGGGAGAGCCAAGTCCTGCTCTCCCATTTTCAAAGGAGAAGCCGTCTCTTCTGTGGACTTTCCCTCTCCGTTTTCTGAAGCGAATCCTTCTGAAACGTCAGAGGCATCGCTTTCTGACTAAAAGTAGGAGAAATAGTTATCAGTTAGAGATGCTTATTCTGCAAAAATATCTTATGCTACCCAAACATTTACTCCACAGTGTACAATGCCACTCAATAATTACTAGGTACAATGAAATCTAACGATTAAAAAGACATTGTGTTTGTATGCAATGATGTATAAGGTCGTGGAAAAGTATGGGACATAAGGAGGAATGTAAATCAAGTATAGGAGGCAAAGCAGGTGGTGTTGATGTGACTGTAAGGCCACCCTGTGCTAGCGAGCCTCACTGGCCAGCTCAGCACGCAGCGAGCAAGGAGGGGTTGGTTCCCGAGTCAAAGGCCGAGCAGGGGATGGGGCCGACAAAGCGAGCGCGGACAGGAGCACTCGGCCCGCGGGCTCCTGCCGTTAACGGGCGATACGGTGCGCTGGATGGGGGGGGCGCCAAGTCCCGCCCGGGGCGCAGTAGCCTCGCTGCCGGCCTGCACCTACCTCGGTGCTCTCAAACTCCCGGTTGGCTGCGGCGAAGATGCCCAGCTCCGCGGCGGGCTCCCCGGGGGCGTCCGCGCGCCGGGGCTCTGCGGCGAGGGGGGACACGCGAGAGTGGACGACGGGCCGCGGCAGCACCACCGTGCCGCCCTCGCCCTCCCCTGGCCCGTCCCGGCGCTCCCCGGCCCCACTGCCCCGCTCACCGTGGGCGGGCGCGGCACGCGTGGGGCGCAAGTGGCGCAGGTAGCGGTCGCGCATGGCCTGCCAAGAGTGGCGCGTCAGGCGGCGCCGCTCCAGCTCTTTCCAGAGCGCCGTGCCGCTCGCCCGCGCCGCGCGCCGCCCGCGCACCGCCCGCAGCAGCGCCGCGTCCTCCGCGGCCGTGAAGGCCAAACGGCCGCGCGGCGCGGGGGCCGCTGCGGCGGCGGGGGGCGCGGACGGCAGGCGCCAGCTCTCCAGCGGCAGCCTCCGGTTGCGCCGCACGCACTCCTCCACGTACTCGGCGGAGACGGCGCCGCCGGGCGCCGCCTCGCCGGGCTGCGCCAGGAGCACCGCGCCCGGCTCCTGCACGCGGCACAGCCGCCCGCCGCCCGCCAGCACCAGCGGCGCCAGACGCAGCTTGGCCAGCCCAGGCCGCACGTAGAAGCGCATGGGGCTGCCGTCGTCCCAGAGGAACAAGGTCCGCGACGGACCCCCCTCCGCCGCCGCCGCCTCCTCCTCCTCGCCGGAACCCGCCATCGCTGCCGCCGCCGCGCAGGCGCGTCCCGCCCCGCCCGGCGCGGGAAGATGGCGGCCTTAACAGAGCGCAATGTGGAGGTCGCAGAGAACGAGTCGCGCCTCAGCAAAAAGTGAGGGCAGGGCTGGGCTGGACCGGTTCGGACCGGGAGGGGGGGTGTTGGTTCGTCCGTCCACCCGCCCGGGTCCGTCTTCGCCAGGTACCTGCTGCGGCCGCCGCGCCATGCTGGGCCCCGCCGCCGCGCGGCTGCTGGGCCGCGCCTGGAGGGCCGCGCCGCCGCGATGGCCGCGAGCGCTTCATGGCCAGAACAGGTCGGTGCTTCGCGGTCGGGGCCCGGCCCGCCCTGTCCTCGTGGAGCCGCGCCCGGTGGAGCGGCTCGGGTCTGCGCGGGCGCCTCGGCCGGGCCGCCGCCTCTGACCCCAGCGGGCGGCGCCGCTTGCAGGGCGGCCGCGGGGCCTTGCAAGGGCCGGGCACGTGGCACGGCCGCAGTGTGCGGCCCGCGGCTTCTTGTCGTGTGTGGGAGGGAAGGCCTCGTCTTCCTCTTAGGTTACCAAGAGTTATATTGCTTTTAAGGAGTAGAGCTACTTGGACGTTATTTTGTATTCAGGGTGGGGTAGCAGCAGAGTTAATATACACCGAACTTTTGGCAGAAGCCTGCCACCAGTGTTTCCCTACAGAAATCCCTGCTGTAACTGGTTTTCTCCTCCCTTATTTATCTATCTGTCTATCTATTTATTTATTTTGCAGTGAGCTGAAGAGACGTTTAAAGGCGGAGAGAAAAATAGCTGAAAAAGAGGCAAAGCAAAAAGAGCAAAATGAAAAGCATCCAGATAAGTCTTCTGTGACTCCTGATTGTGAGAGTAACATTGGTGCTGATGAGGAAAGTTTGGATCCAAATGTGAGCATCCTGCTGATCTGAGAATAAACGCTATTGACTCGTATTTGGTTTTTCAGTCATACTGAAATAGAGGGTTAGAAGGGGAGAGACCTCCATACTCCTAAATCAGGGCAGCTATGTTTTAAGTTTTAACTTAGGACATATTTTCAGTTTTTGACAAAATCATTTGGTTTTGTTTGATTTTTGTGACAGCAATATTACAAGATCCGTAGCCATGCAGTCCAGCAGCTGAAGGGCACCAGTGAAGATCCTTATCCCCACAAATTCCACGTGGACTTATCTCTCTCAGATTTCATAGAGAAGTACAGTCACCTGCAGCCAGGAGATCACCTGACAGACATTACAGTCAGAGTAGCAGGTAAAGGTTGTTCTGGGATATGGAAGATGGTCTTTTACCATGTAAAGCCAAGTTGTACCTGCTTTTAGAAATGGGGTGATCTGTTTCCTAATTCTGTTCATCCTTTGCTCATTCATGAAGCTAAGTCTGCAGCAGAATTTTGACTGTTAGAGAGAGGACCCTTTGGACCTATTGCAGCTTCCATGATAAGTAGGTGGTCAGGACATTATGGTTTGGGCTCCATGACTCTGTGTTCGTACAACCTTATGTGCAGTGGTATTAATTTTGAGGCTTTAATTGCTTCTTTTTTTTTTGATGGCTAGTAATTGGTTCAGAGCTGACAATTCCTTGTCCAAGTAACAATACTGTGGCTTTTGCCCTGTGCATTTTCTGCTAGGATCGTGTTTTCTCTTGTTCTGTATTTAGGTCGTATCCATGCAAAGCGTGCCTCTGGAGGCAAACTAATCTTCTATGACCTTCGAGGTGAAGGAGTCAAATTGCAGGTCATGGCAAATTCCAGGTAAGTAGAATTAATCCCACTAGCATTTTAAGCTAAATGATGCTCTTGAGCCTGGTGATCTACATTTGTTATCCTGTTCCTTCAGCTCTCTAGCCTAGTTGATCAGCTGAAGATTGGCTTAGCCAGCCAGGTGATACTGTGTTAGGATATTGTGGTTGGCTTCCCTCTTAAATATTTTTTAAAGGATTTGGTCTGGGAAGAGACTTGCGGGGCACAATTTGGAAAGTTGGATTTCAAACAAAACTGCTTAAAGTGTTATTATAATTACAGGCTCTACAAGTCAGAGGAAGAATACTTCCGTATTAACAACAAGCTTCGTCGTGGGGACATTATTGGCGTGCAGGGGAATCCTGGGAAAACAAAGAAAGGGGAACTGAGTATTATTCCGTATGAAATAACTTTGTTATCTCCATGCCTGCACATGTTGCCTCATCTTCACTTTGGCCTCAAAGATAAGGTAACTATCACATCTATTGTTCTTGGAGGTTATTTGAGAGAAGGTCTGAATGGATGGCCTTTTGTATCTGCTGATGGTATCAGTGCATTAGTTTTGATTTGTTCTTCTCCCCTTTTTTAATTTTTCTCTTTGGCAGCACATTTTGTTTATTCTAATTTTTTTTTTCCAGGAGACTAGGTATCGTCAGAGATACTTGGATTTAATTCTTAATGATTATGTGAGGCAGAAATTCATAACCCGTGCAAAAATCATTACATATATTCGGAGCTTTCTAGATGAATTGGGCTTTCTTGAGGTAAGTCTTCATGGTTTATTTCTCTCCTTCCACTAGATATTTTTGAAGTTCCTTAGCTCCAGAGTTACCTCATATTCAAGCTCATATGTGAAATGTGTACATAAGTAAGATTATTGCAGTCATTATATTTACATAATGGAGAATATTCCTTTGTTCTTATTTTCGAGTTAATACTGTTCCTGCGATATTAGTGTGTAATTCAAAGAACTTTTATCAAGCTATCACTTTAAACTGTTGATGCTCTTTTGTTGGTTTAGTAATTTGAGGTGGGGAATAATGTATTTTAAATTTTGCCTTGGAGTGTAAAGGCAGATTTTTTTAATGTAAGTAAAATTGATTCTATCTTAATATCTGCTCTCCAGATAATTCTACTAATCTAACTACTGTTAGATAGTTCTAACTAGTATGTTAGAAAATAGTATCAGTTGTGCTCTGTTGAATCCATTTTTTTTTTGTTGACTTTTAAGTTATGTTCTGCTAGCTGAAATATAATTTGTAAACAAACTCATTAGTGGAGTAAGTTATTTATGCTTGGTGAGCATGCTGGGAATACAAAGCAGAAGATTAGGAATGGTCTGTTGGTACAGCTTAATTGAAGCCATGAGCCACTGCTAACTGCTGCACTGTGTATTGTTCAACATAGCATAGTATGTGTCCCTGCCATGATACTATGCTGTCTGGACTGGAAAAAATATAGCTAAACTCTTAGAGGTGTGTACAGCTTGTTGTCAGGGCTTGTTAGTTTGGAGTCAGTTTGATTCTCATGAGTTCAACTCTGTTTCTCATTTCATCAGTGTCTGGAATGATGACTGCTTTCTGTTCTCTACTGCTTAGCTTGTTTTATAGCGTGGATCTATCTGGAGAATTGTATTAATTCAAAATACTTTTTTAGAGAGTTATGTTGATTCGTATTCTACAAAGTTTCTCTTCGTTTCAAGGTCTAGAATCACTTATTCTGTCACTTATAAACTTCTGTTTTTGCCCTGACTTTCGTTCTATCACAAGAGTCCCGAGTTTCCTCCTAATTCATAGAAGGCTTCCTATTCTGCACTACTTTGTGTAGTTCTGTTGCGAATTGTGAAGTACTTGTTTTCATGATCCTGCGCTAGTAACAGGATGCATTTCAGGACAAGCAGAGTGAAGTTCTCTGTGCAAGCCAAGCTGGTTTGTCAGGACAGCAGTTTAAACCAGACATCTCTGGCAGAATTGATCACAAAATTGTCTATTCTTGGGCAGAGAAAAGGAGCAGATGGTTGTTTTGTTTGACCACCTTGGCCAGCCCTCTGAATAGGGGCCCTCTGGTCATCACTCAAAGTCGACGTTGTAAATCATTCTGCCTCTCCGTTCTTTCATCATTCATAGTTTTTTATTTTGTATGTGTGCCTGGCAGGTGATTCCTTCCCTTTCTCATGTGGTTGATCATGCATAGCCTGGGCTATGGCTGCACATCCTTTAAACAGATAGGGAAATGCAGCTTGTGTGAAAGTAAATTTGTAACATTTTTTGGAGCTGTACGTACATTAAATTGTCTTAATAAAAACAAACTTGCATTTGCATATCTTTTCATAAATTAATTGTTAGACTCTGGCGTTCTCTGTGTGTGTATATATATTTATGAACATGTGTGTATATATATGCATATACACAAAAATAGCAAATTCTTGTTTCTATTTGGAATGAATGTCCTTGTATGCATATATTCTACTCTTCCTCAAATAATTCTGAATGCTCCACATTCGAAGACATTACTCTTACTTTTATTACTTTTTGTTACAAAAGCAGTATTGAAATTGCTCATGTTTTGCAAGGTTGTAGTAACCACAGTATTTAATTTCTTTCAGGGTTATCTTTGTTGTTGTTGAGATTATCCTAAGGAATTTACAATATCAGCAATAATTTGGAAAAGATACCAAGAAAGACTGGTATTAAGCCTTGTAAGAGAGTTCTCTGTATAGAGATGTTGGGGTTTTTTTGTTTTATTTTTTCCCTCTCGTTTCTTTTTCCTCATGAAAGCTAGCTGTGGTTTGTTGTTTGTTATACAGGGTTCTTCTGCAGAAATAGAAATACCCAAAGACTAACCCAGAGCATGCATTTGAGTTAAGAACTTGGCAATATTTATGCCAGGGTTGTGTTCATTTTGTTGTTGTTTTTGTTTTTCAGATTGAAACCCCTATGATGAATGTAATTCCAAGTGGGGCCGTAGCTAAGCCTTTCATCACATATCACAATGAACTTGATATGAATTTATATATGAGAATTGCTCCAGAGCTTTATCATAAGGTAAAACACAAGCTTCTCAGGGCCAAGCTCTATATTCTCTAAATCCTTTTTCCTCATTCGTAAAAAAAAAAAAAAAAAAAAAAAAAAACCACCTGCAGAAAGGATTATTTTTGAAAAATAGTTGGCTCATTGGATTGGAGAAAAAAAAATGTGTCTTGAATGAAGTTCATTAGGTACTGGTGTTCAAAGTTAGTGTTCATTAGGTACTGGTGTTCAAAGTTAGTGTTTTTACTAGAATTTCCTTTTGTTTAGATGTTGGTGGTTGGAGGCATGGACAGAGTATATGAAATTGGGCGTCAGTTCCGCAATGAAGGAATCGATTTAACTCATAATCCTGAGTTCACAACTTGTGAATTCTATATGGCTTATGCGGATTATCATGACTTGATGGAAATTACAGAGAAACTACTTTCAGGTGATGTATGTAATTAAAAAAAGAAAGACAAAACCAAATCTCCAAAAAACTCTTCAAGAGGAATTCCATATTAAGTAGCTTCTTGTTGCTTTCTAAACCTCAGTTTTCTTTTGTAGGGATGGTGAAGCATGTTACTGGAGGTTACAAGATTGCTTATCATCCAGACGGTCCAGATGGACAGGCTTATGAGATAGATTTTACTCCTCCTTTTCGGCGAATTAGCATGGTGTATGAACTGGAAAAGGTCTTGGGAGTGAAATTTCCATCAGCTGATCATTTTGAAACTGAAGGTTAGATGCTGAAAATGTGCTTTAATTTCCCCCTTAGCATGAAGAGGGCAAGTATCTCAGGTTTTCCATCTTCAGTCTGTCAGCCGTTCTCTTGAGGTGATGGTAATGAATTTGCTTTTCTCTGAGTCTGTCCATTACCTGGAATTCCAGAAAGGAATCCTTGTGCTTTGTAGTCTGCAGCAAGATCTGACTCTTCTGCTTCTCCCTTTCTTGAGTATATATGATGCTGCAGGAGATGACATGGATGGAGATCTTTTTGAAGCTTTTTTTCTCATATCTTCTGCCCTTAGTCTCCATTTAGTCTCCGTGTTTGTGAATGTAAGATAGGATTATTTTGGTCTTTTTTCAAATGTGTGCATCTCCTATTTTATTCCTGGAATCTAGAGCCATAATGAAATAAGATCGTGGCGTTTTTTAGTGTGGTTTTTTTTTTCCTCCCCTTTCCCTCCTCCCCACTAATAAACTAGTGTTCATCATGTAGAATAATGTATAACTGTTGCTCAGGTCTCTGAAATAATGCATATTTATGGTAAATTGATAGAAACAAACACTCCTTCTATAAATTGAAACTGCTACTTGAATTAGCGCTTTCCACAACTATATATTATTGAAATCTTTAGGAACGCTCTAAGACATGATGAAGGATGTGGAAATCAGACATAGCTGTCTGGGTGACTTTTCTAATTTCTGTCTACAACAATTTCAGAAACTCGCAGATTCTTTGATAACATATGTGTGGAGAAAAATGTTGAGTGTCCACCTCCCAGAACAACAGCCAGGCTTCTTGACAAGGTATGTAAAGGTGTTTTTTTTGTAATTTTCAGTCTTTAGGGATATATCTGTACGAATAGAAGCCCATATAGAACAAAAGCTTATCTGACTTGGGAAATCATGCTGAAATGCAGTTAAACCATTTCTGTATCAAAGGAGAAAAGTTGCTTTGGCAATCCTTTCTCTGCTGTCTGCAGCAGAATATAGTGATATGTACTGATGCCTGCTTAATGACAGCTCTGAAGGTATTTGTTTGTTATGCCTAAGAGGGATATAGTTATCTCACATCAGTTTTGTCAGAGAGATCTATGCATTTGAATCTACCTTATCAAACTGTTAGGCTTACCACTTAATGCTCACATCAACTGTATTAAGTCTTTCAACCCCAAATATTGCGAGGTAATTGGGCTTTTGCTGTTTTTTGTGTTGGCTTTTGTCGCCATGTCCAAATTAAAACTTAAATTACATTTTAATATAGTTTGTCCTGTGTCTTTTTTTCTTCTCCAACTTGGATACATTCTCTTTTAATGGAGATGTTATCATGATTAGGCGTTACTAGCTTTTCATGTCTACAGTACTTGCTTGAGAACTGAAGGGAGGAAAGGAGGATTTTTGGGATGGGCAGTGCTGCTAAAGTGTTATTTTACTCTAGCTGTCTGTTCTGTCTTTCCAGTTAGTTGGTGAATTTCTGGAAGTCACTTGTATCAACCCAACATTCATCTGTGACCACCCACAGATCATGAGTCCTCTAGCTAAATGGTAAGTGTCAGACACAGACATGTTAGAACTCACTTTAACCTCCCTATTGCTACCTCACAGAAAAGGTCCCATTTGTGAGGATGGAGATTTTGATGCTGTATAATTGTTTGTGAATTCCAACACCAATCCAGATAGATACTGGTTTGTTAGCCAGTGCTTGGAGAAGAGCACTGCTGCTCAGTAGTGGGAAGTGCTGACAGCTGTCACTGGCAATACTGGCCATCTTCCTGAAGTAATGTATGTTCTGTTTTGCTTCTGTAAGGCTGTCATTTTAAGGTGTGGTTGGTTTGTCAACTTGATGTAGGCATCGCTCTCAGCCAGGACTGACAGAACGCTTTGAACTTTTTGTGATGAAGAAGGAAGTGTGCAATGCATACACAGAGTTGAATGATCCATTCCGGCAGCGACAGCTTTTTGAGGATCAAGCCAAGGTATGGTGTGTGGATCATAATGAATCCACAATTTAGGCGCTTAAGCAAATAGTACTTCCTGTGTGTCTTCCACATCTATCATTAGTCCCTTTTGAAGTGAGCTGTTGATAATTTGAGCAAGTGTTTCTCACTTAAGTGAAAGCCTGTCATTAAAACTTAGTAAGTTTTAAAAGTTAATATAACAATTCTTTTTGAATTAGTTTCTCTGAGGTATGCAAGTCTGAACTCCATGGTTGGTTACCTTTATTTTAGTACTGATACCATGTTTCAGAATATTTTAAATGCCAATCGTGGAAAAAAAAATCAGATGTGCAAAATGTTTGCTGTCATCTTCAGGTTAACAGTGAGTTATTTTTTCCACAATTAAGTTATATAATAACACATTATAGTTTGTTAAATGAATTTCTCTATCCAGTGAGAGCTTTAATGATGCATAAGAAATAATCAAATTTTCGGAATGGAGCTGTTTTACAAGTGACTCTCAGAACAGACCTGCAGACTCCTTGAAAATTACTGACCCTGCATATCTATATGACTAGGTTTCTGTAGAAATGCTTAGATTTCTGTAAATCTAAGAAAGAGATTTGGATTAATTTGGTTGTATTAGCTATATATACATGCACACATGCTCATTTAAGGGAGGTCAGATGATGTTGTCTGTAGAAATGGAGTTTCTGTTCCTTTCAAACTACCTGCAGCCTCATACACACTAACAGTGGTTAAAATCAGAAAAATACATAGGTATGTTATCCAACTTCTAGGATATTTCAAAATGTTCAGTCAGTATAAGATAGCAGTTCCTCTTTAGTCCATGGGTGGGTATGTGTATGTATTTTTTAATTTGTTGCTATTCTCTTACGTGCTTATGGGCAGTTTTGCAGATATGTGTATGGGTATTAATTGAAAATTTGCCTGAAAAAGCATTGATAAGTTGGAAACTGAGATGAATGGTAGCAGATCACATTTCAGTATTTCAGACTCAGGCTAAAAAATGTCTTTATTAAACAACCTTCATTGAAACTGCCTAAGTCAAAACAGATGATAGTTTCAACACTTGTACTTGACACTTTCTAAATTTGAGTGTGTTAGCTCTATATTCTTATCACTTTCACCATTTGGAGGCTGTCACTGTCAAATTATGCAAGAAATATGAGTAATTCCAGTGCTTCCAAATATTTTTGTTTGAAGAAATAAGATGTCTAAACTTTGTTTCATGTAGCAATTACTGGTGATTTGTATCTTGTGATCCATGTTTGTTTCAGTAAACATGGAGGGGGAGGATTGCAGGTGACAAAGTACGTCCTTGAGAACAATGTATTAACTTTCACCGTGGTCTGTTGTCACTGTGGTGGTTAAAGTCTAAAGACATTCATGGCCCTGGAGATAGCTTTCAACAAAATGAAAGGGGCTGGACCTTTGTCTAGAAATCCCTAGATCCGAAAGGAACTGACATAGCAAGCATAGCTGGGCAAGTTTCAATAGAACATGTGAGAAACTGCAGATCAGATAAGAGAGCAATAGGATTTGTCAACCTGGAATAAATGTGGTAAGCACCTGTAAAAGTGGCCTCCAGAATTCTGCTGATGACGAGATTCTTTAGCCTGTTAATTGCCTTGGTTTTATCAGTCACCTGACTCGAGCAAAATGTCATCCTTTTTGGTAGGTGTTGGTAGAAGTGGTAGTATTTCTAGCTCTGTATAAGTGCTTTTATAAGCTGCTAATTTTCTTTTATAGGCAAAAGCTGCGGGTGATGATGAAGCCATGTTTATTGATGAAAACTTTTGTGTTGCACTTGAGTATGGACTTCCTCCCACAGCTGGCTGGGGCATGGGGATTGATCGTCTCACCATGTTCCTTACAGATTCCAGTAACATCAAGGTAAATATTATAAATGGCAGTGCCTACTGATGGGTTTGTCAGAGAACTGGAATGAGATTCTTCAAAGTAGACCTCATCTGCAAAGAAACTTTTTAAGGCTAAGAATTCCACCTCGCCTCAGAAAATTTGTTGGATATGCTGAGAACTGCCTCCGACTTCTCCAGCTGGCACGTGGCATGTTGGGTGCATTAAGCGCCAGCTGAGCCCTCTGCAGTGGTGTGTCCTCTGCCCTGCAGCTGAGCACAGCCTGGGCTGCCGCTTGCTTTGCAGTCTCCCGCCCCCTGTGAGGGGGGGCTCCTGAACCATGAGGCAGGGGGGTACCTGCTGACTTTGTCCCTCTTTGCAGGAGGTGCTGCTCTTCCCCGCCATGAAGCCCGAGGACACCAAGAAGGAGGCACAGCGTGACCCGCCTGCCGAAGGCACTTCTGTGTGACGGGCCCCAATAAAGGCCACGCGTTCTGCCGCCCTCCGTGTCCGTCTTCATGCGGCGGCGCCTGCGCGGGAGCGGCGCCACGGGGCGGCGCCTGCGCGGGAGCGGCGGCGCCTGCGCGGGAGCGGCGGCGCCTGCGCGGGAGCGGCGGCGCCGCCCACGGGGACGGTGTCCTGGGCACCTTTCACGGTGGGGCTGTGCGAGCCCGGGGGAGCGGAACGAGTCCGTATGCTGCTGGGCTGTGTGACCTCTAGCATTATCACTTCTAGTGATTCGGGAAAAAAACAATGCATTTCTAGTTTATGACAGTTTTTATGCCACTATTATCAGGATTATTTGTAAGTGGGCCTTAGACTTGGGATCTGGTGTGGGTGTGCATCCCGCAGAAGCAGGCTGTGGGGCCTGGAGAGGTGGGAAATGCTGCTCTGACCGTAAGGCACTAGCGTTCAGAACGTACCCGGCACCAAGGCGATGTGGTCGGCAGATGAGATCGCTCAGCTCTGTTACACACACTATAGCTCCGTGCTCCCGAAGCAGGGGAAGCCAGACCCAAACAGGGAGTGGACTTCCCTGGCAGCCGTTGTCAAAGTGGAGCCAGCAGTGTGCAGAGAGGATAACGCTAGTCCAGAAAGCTCACAGGGTAAGAGGGGAAGTGTTTTGTCAGCAGGCCACCCTCAAAAAAAGGAGGAAAAAAAAGAAAACCCTGTCTTATTTCTCTCCTTTCCCAAATGATTTGCAGTCTGTGGTGCGAAGAGCTCTTACTTGAAAAGAGATGACAATAGTAGATTCCTGCTCTTCTGAGATTGTAACTAAGAAGCTAAAAGCTAGCATTTACCTGCTTGTTAAGTGGTGAAAATCTAGGCAGGAGCCGATTTCCTAATATAACCCCGTGCAGAAGTGTGTTCAGATGTTATTAATTAGAATCTTAGACTGCAATTGCGTTGCCTTCAACAAACTATGTTAGCATAGTGTGACAGTGTTTTTGTGTCAATTTCACTTTTTTTGCCTAATTACTGTTTCCATGTTGTGCAATATCACGTCCTGCTTTCCTGCTCTTTTACATCTTTGAGGAGGAATCCTCTATTAGTGTTTGCTAGCTGCCACTTTGATGCCTGGAATGTGTCTCTGCCTCCATCACTGTACCTTGCCTCCTATACAATCTTCTGTCTGTTTTCTTACCAAAGTGGCTCTGAGTGGATGTTTCCGATGACAGTTTGTTCAGGTAATCTTGTTTCCCTTTTTAGTAAACAAGGAAGTTGTTGCTATGGGGACTGGAACAAAATGTATCGGTGAAAACAAAATGAGAAAAACAGGTAAGTAGGTGGAAAATCCACAAGCCTAGTTGAATACCTATCATAGCTTATATCTTGCTGATGCACTAGATCAATGAATAATGTACTATGCTGAATGTAGTCTTTCAGAGGGAAACCAAAAGCTTAAGGCAAGCCTTCCGCTTGGCAAGTAGGGAACATCTCAGGCAGCTAAAACAGTTCATCTGAATGGTTGCTACACTTGCTGCCTGGAAGGTAAATAAACCTTCACACCTTTTTATGTGTAGAAATGAGTAGTTTATGCCCTGAGTCTACATACTCACGTACTTACTAGGTAGAAGCAATTTTTTTGTTTTGATACAAAAAATGTATCAAAAATAATTGTTCTCAGTCATCTCTTCTAGTCTGATGCAGAATATACTACTGTAATGTTAGTGTAGAGATGATTCTAGAAAGGTGGTAGTAGAGTACTTTTTTCCATATATTCTGAAGTTAGATAGTACAAGTATTTGCACAGTAAGTATATCATAGAATCATAGAATGCCGAAGGTTGGAAGGGACCTCAGAGGTCATCGAGTCCAACCCCCCTGCTCATGCAGGGTCACCTAGAGCACGTGGCACAGGACTGCATCCAAGCGGGTTTTAAAGATCTCCAAAGAAGGAG